AACGGCCATGCGCGTCTCGACGGGCCCCTTCTCCTAACGCCGCCTCCGCGAGAGGTTTCCGTGATGCCGCGCGGAGCAGGGCTCCTTCTGCTGCGGTTCTGCACTGCGGTGGGCGTCACTCCAGATACTGTAAGATACTTTGGCCGCCTCTCCTTGTTTCTCGTCAAGCTCGCTACTTTGGTGCGGCCGTGCTGGCCTTACATGGCGAGCCTCGAGGTTGGCGGCCCCCTCGTGCTACTGGCTGTGTTGGACTTGGGGCTCCCGACCGGCAACCACGCTACCCTTACTCGACGTCCTAGTCATGGTGAAGTCGTAACAAGCCTGTTTCGTCAGACTGGGTTGGGCACCAGGCTTTTGTTTCTTGTCCTGCATCTGACTGTAATTTGGCTGGCTGGTCGCTGGGAGGCTCTTTGCGTTGCTGTTCCTCGTGACGAGTGGGATGGCTGGCAGAATTTATAATAGGTTTCTTATTTCCCTTTGATATTTTTGTAATTGTAACGGGAGACGCACAGCGTAGGGTTTCAAAAAGTGCTACCAACTACCAAAAAATAGATATAGCCAAAGAATGAAGTTTCCATAATATTTCAACAGGAAAAAACATATCATACAGCCCACAGGGTGGCCATTGGCCGGAGACTCTTTACTTCATCGCTCCCTTGGACCCAAACGATCTCCTCCTCGCCATCTCAACGCCAGCCAGATACACTCCCTTCGGATTATCACCATACCGTCCTCGGCTCTTGGCTGCCATGAGCTTCCTCCCGCCTGTGATGCTCCCGAAGCCAAAATCCGGCTGGCCACCCAGGCTGCCAAAGATGTCGCCGATGTAGTTGGTCGGGGGCACGCCAGGCGCAAAGGTGCAGTCCCAGTCGGCGAGGATGCCGCGGACGACTTGGATGCCGGCGGCGTAGAGGTTGGCGATGGCGATGTGGAAGCCGTTTTGATTCGTGCGCGTGAGGTGCTCCCAATCGGTACGGGAGGGGGGAGGACGGTCGAAATTGGAGCCTGGTGTATGTTTTGTTAGTCGAGATGTGGCATTTTGTATGTGTGAGCATGTATATTTGTATGAGTTTATATGTTTGTATGAGGCAGATGAGGCAGATGTCAATAAAGGGGTGTAGCTCACCCGTACGCATGGCAATGACACGGCCAAAGTCGACCAGCCCTTCAATCGCTGCCCTCACTAACACCTCGAGCGTGGCATTATCTTCTTGTGCACTCATGCAATAGACGCCCGTGCCATTGGTCCATAGAGACGTCGTGTTCTCAAACGCCTGTGCAAGCCTGCCGCCCGTATAATAGACGTCGCTCGTGGCGCTATCGCACTTGACGACGCTGGGCGGCAGCACGGCCGTATGATATGGCGGGCCCATTTCCGAATACAAGAGGCGGTAGTTGCGCGTCTCTTGGGCGTCTTGCAGCTGGGCTCGCTGGGCAAAGGCGTGGGCGGCGTCACGTAAGTTGGCGTTGAGCTCAAAGACTTCGGTGCCGTAGGTGATGCAGGGGTACTCGAAGGGGTGGGTACGGCCGTACGGGATGTAGCCTGTGGGCCAGTCCTGGGGCAGAGATCGGGAGTCGATCTCGTACTGAAGGGTGACCTGGACGGCATACCGAGCAAAGGCCACGCTGCCAATGGTTGCATGCCGTGGGTTCACGCCCGCGATGCCTGCCAGGAGAAAGTATGTCTGAGTGAGGTTGAAGCTGCCGGATAGGACGAGGGCTGCCATGGACACGGCTGAGTTGATTTCCCCCTCGCCGACGGTAAGTTGGCAGACACTGCCTGTTTGCGTGCAGAAGACGAGAGGGAAGAGCATAGAGAGACCGGGCGTGGCTATGGCCTGAAAAGTGAGGTTTCCCAAGCCGGACTGAGAGAAGTTATCGAGCCATATTTGGCCCTCAGGTTCAAACTAGACGAGAGCGATTAGAGAGGACTGGGTAGTGGAAGAGATGAAGAAAAGGGGTAGACAAACCATGGATATAATCATCACTTTTGGAGAGATGACATCAAAGGATTCAGCATGGATGACCATCGCCGTGAGAAGCGTACCGAGGACGGACGTGAGGAACATCGCCATGGCGTGAGTAGACAATATGCTTGAAGTTGAGAAGCATGACGGCACCCACACAGCCGGAGCACATGATTCGAGATATTCGATGACATGGATTTATACTCATGCAATTGAAGCTTAAAAACAGACTCATGGTGATTAAGCATCAGTCTGAACAGCAGTGATATAAAGACCCCGTGTCTTGTACAATGCAGTCCCCCATATTCCCTTTGTTTCCTTCTAAACGACCTCATATTCGCTACCCAGGCTTGGTCCGGGTCACGAGGACGGGGAATATGATGAACAGTCTTGCCCAGTCTGGCAGCGTGTCGCCGAAAAGTGACTGAAACATTGCTAGGCAAGGCTGATGAAACATCGATGGAGAGGATATCTGATAACGGGGGTTTCCAGCAAGCGTCTTGTTTTCCGCTGTTTGCTGTTTGGATCCTCGTTAGCAACAAGCTTGTAAAAGCAGTGTACCGATTGGAGATATGTCTATGTTTAGACAGCACCCGATTCCTATTCACGAATCCTTCAAAAGAAAAGTGCGAGCAAACATGGCATCTTTAGGCGTATATTGGTCTCAGCAGAGCAGGCTTTAAACGAGACAAAGAGTTCTAGGCACTTATGCATGATTGGACTCGGGTGAGCATAAAAAGCGAATGAGAGCCAGTTTCTTGCTCGAGATATCGGCTAAGAGAGACGACATAAGCGCCTCGTAGTAGCCGAAGCCGGTTTCAGTGACGCTGGCCCAAGGTCCCTTTGATAAACCAGCTGAAGGGCGACATGGTTTCAAATAAGTGGCGGCTGCAATGCATGCTTTGTCGGCTGCGAGTGTGCGAAAGGAGCAAAAAGGGGGGCTTTTTTGTTTGCCGTTCTTGTACCTTGTGCAACTCAAGAGTGCTTAATCTAGCGATTGTCTCGGGAGAAGCAACTTGGGTCCAGCGGGAGGCCGCAAATGCTGCAGCATGGCTACGTTTATTGGCTCCTGGCAAACGATGCCCGTTAGCCTCGGTATTCGGAGAGTGTTTTGATGACTGCATATGGAATCGGACGATCACAATACATGTCACTATAAAGGGACGCAGATGATGCTGCTCTTAGGAAATCTCTTGCGGTATCAAGGCGAAAGAGGGGGAAGCAGTCCCGTCCACCGTTTCTTGTGAGTGATGGAACTTGCTGTGGAACGGTTGGCTAGCCGTTGGTAGTTGTCGCCTCTCTCTCACGCTCAGACCAGGTCGCATGCTCATCCGACTGATTTTGGGCTAGGCGCCACGGCTCGGAGATGTCCTGAGGGTTGTGTAAGCGCCAAGCAACTTGGCTTGTGGTGTCGTGATCCTATTATGGAGCGCACTCGGGACGCTCCATAGCTTCGTGTCCATTTCGCCTTTAGAATGCAACAAAACTTCTAAAATGTTTTCGGAGTTTTGCGTCTTCTTCTCAGCTTTCTCTCCCTCACTATTGGTCGTTTCTGGTGAGAATTACGCCGATAGGAGTTTCGGACAATAACAAGACACGGCATGGCGTCTTGGTGTGGTGGCTGGAGCCGGTAGCTGGACATTGGCGCACTCGAATCTGGTGCTGGATTGCAGATTCTGAGCGGAAATATCAAAGAAAGAGCCGTAGAACAGTCACTAGAAGTATGGCTGTTTCTTGGTGGTCGGCCCTACTGGCAAGCCACACCGTCTGACGACTGGCTGACGGCGTTGCGCCTCCTTGTGTTCATGCCTGTCGCCGCAAGGCTTAGAGTCGATGGAAAAGTGCCACTCAGAAGACTTGCGGATTTGTGAACTTCAAAGGACGGCTAAACGGCATGTCCATGTTGTCATTGGTTGGCTCTACTGTAGCAACAAAGGATATCTGGCGTCCGGCACTCGATGCGACAGAGCACAATGGCGACGCCACGAAAGTTGTCTTGAAAGCAAACGTGGCATAATTGTGCCGGCGATTGAAGAAGCAGAACCAGTTGGTCCGAGGATAGATGTTGCCGAGAGACTGCCAAGAGGCTGCCAAGTGAGGGGAGTCTCCTCTACTTTGCCCAGATAGACAGCTTAGGGTCTTTCGGGGGCCAAACAGCTCGATTGGCTGGTTCCGTTTCTCTGCGACTCCGCCAGACTGACCGTAGGGCTCGATGATCGACTAATCATCTGATGTAGGGAGTCTTCAGTGATTGACTTTGTCAAGCACAGTGCCGGGAGGATTCGTAAGGCGCCTCGGCTGAACCAAGAAGCCCTGCGTTAGCATCTTCGATCAAGCTGGAAATGGCCATTGGCTGCTAGACCCGGTTTTCCTCTGGATGGATAGACAAAAAGGTCTGCCAAGGCTCATCGGGAGTGCGAGTCACCGGCCGTAGTCGAGTTTAGTTGATATGCCAGGGTGGAGAGCAGGACGCGGCCCTCCCTTTTAGCTGCGAGCCGATGGGCTTGTTTAGTAGCTGCTCATACTATACTGTCCCTACGGAACATAATCTCGGAGGCTGCATGATGCTGCAGCTGCAGAGGCAGGAGTGCAGATGGGCGGTTGGATGGATGATTTGTCTGTTGTGATGTTGATGGCGAGAGGACTGTTGAGTGTAAGGTAGATTGCGAGAAAAGACCTTGGAGTTTCTCGGTGGCCAGAGTTTGGATCCAGCAGCGTGGCACCCGTCACCTGGTTGCCGTCCGGGCGTCTTAGGGGCCTCGTAGTGCCTGGCTGGCCTAAGCTGGGGCGGGATTAGCTCCCTGTGGCGGCCTGTCCACCCCCGGCGCCGCCCCGCCGAGCGCTGTAAATCCCCTCTGCCAAAGCGTCACTCAGTGGGTCGAAAAATATCATTTATTGCTGCCACCGGCCCCCAATCCGTCCATCCCACATGGGATTCGCATCTCCAATTCCGCTGCGACAAAAGAGAAGCCGTGCCTCGACTGCAGATGCTTCTCTAGGATCCGGCCCTGGCATGTATCTGGGCTCTCCCCCATGGACGAAATCACGCCCGCCGACTCGGTTACGCGCCGCCATGTGGACGCTGGCAAGCAGGCGACGGAGCTTGTGGCGGAGCTCGACGCCGAAGGGCCGCTGCCGGCAAACAACTTCGCCTTCACGCCGTCCCAGTTGCACAAGCTCTTGAAGCAGAGGAGTCTTGCGGCTCTCGACATCTTTGGAGGGCTCCGTGGCCTTGTGCTGGGCCTTCGTACCGATATCGCTGCGGGCCTGAGTGTCGATGAGGCCAATCTCGATGGCACGATTACCTTTAACGAGGCCGTTACGGCTGCTCGCCAGGACCGCGTGCCTGTCCTCTCCCCCGTCGAGGTGCCTCTTGCTCGTCCAAACTTGACGTTCCAGATAGGCGGACCGGATCATCAGTTCATCGACCGGAGACGCATCTTCGGCGCTAACCGGCTGCCCCGCCGCCGACAAAAGTCTTTCTTCAAGCTCATGTGGATTGCCTTCAACGACAAACTCATGATTCTGCTTACAATCTCCGCCTCTATATCTCTAGGAATCGGACTCTACCAGTCCCTCACGGCTGACGAGGACACATCCAATATCGAATGGGTTGACGGAGTAACGGTCGTGGCTGCTATCATCGTCATCGTCCTGGCCAGCGCCGCTACCGATTGGCAAAAGAATCACCGCTTCGAGAAGCTTAACGAGCGACAGCAGCAACGTGATGTGACGGTCCTTCGATCCGGCAGGATACAGCAAATCTCGATATACGATGTCATGGTGGGAGATGTCCTGCACATCGAGGCCGGCGAAGTTGTAGCTGCCGACGGCGTGCTGATCCAGGGCTCCAGCTTATACATCGATGAGTCGTCCATCACGGGAGAGACTCAGCTGGTCCGCAAAATGGCCCCGGCAGATTGCAACCGTTCTCGAACCTCCTCGGCTGATCCCTTCATCTTTAGTGGCACTACTGTTTGTCGTGGTGTCGGCCGCTTTCTCGTTCTTTCTATAGGCGAAAACTCGGCCTACGGGAGGACCCTCATGTCTTTGCGGGAGGACATCGAGGAGACGCCTCTTCAGGCCAAGCTTGGAAGGTTGGGCAAGCAGCTCATCATGTTTGGTGCCACCGCAGGTGCCATTTACTTTTTGATCCTCTTCATCCGATATCTGGTCCGATTGCCGCAGCACAGACACGCTCGCCCAACCCAGAAGGCCGAAGCCTTTCTTCGTATCCTTATGCTTGCCGTTACCATTGTCGTAATCACCGTCCCCGAAGGCCTGGCGTTGAACGTCACCATCGCTCTTGCGTTTGCAACTACGAGGATGCTCAAGGACCACAATCTCGTTCGTCTTATTCGGTCCTGTGAGATTATGGGCAATGCCACGTCCATCTGCTCCGACAAGACGGGGACCCTGACGCAAAACAAAATGGCCGTTGTTGCTGGCCGCGTTGGGCTCGAAAGCGGTTTTGAGGACTGTGAAATGCCCGTCACAAGCCCGAGCTCAAGTCCTGCCTCGTCGGTGTTGAAGCTGCCCTCGGCCAGACGGTTCATGTCGACTGTCTCTCCACAAGTGCAGAGCTTGATCAAGGACAGCATATCCCTCAACTCCACCGCGTTTGAGAGAGACGACTCCGCAAGCGCCGACTTTGTGGGATCTAGTACTGAGACAGCCCTGCTCAAATTCGGCCGAGACCACCTAGGCATGGGTAAACTTAGAGAAGAACGCGCCAACAGCCCCATCGTCGCCATGCTCCCATTTGATTCAGCGCGAAAATGGATGGCTGTTTTGATAAAGCTTCCCAACGGCAAATATCGACTCCTGGTAAAAGGGGCTGCTGAAATTGTGTTCGAGTATTGTGCTTTCATAGTAGCAGACCCAACCTTTCAATTCACCACCGCTCGGCTCGAGGAATCGGACAGGGAGAGCTTCCGCAAAACGATCAATGACTATGCTGTCAATCTTCTTCGCCCGGTTGCTATAAGCTTCCGAGACTTTGATGAGCACGAAGTATTTGAACACCCAGATGATGACCCTGCCTCTGTTAATTTGGAATGGCTGGCATCGGGCATGGTATTCATCGGCTTCTTTGGGATCCGCGATCCACTACGACCAGAAGTGGTTGATTCCGTACGCAAGTGTCAAGATGCCGGCGTCTTTGTGCGCATGGTTACTGGCGACAATTTTCTTACGGCCAAGGCTGTTGCCGCGGAATGTGGCATATACACTCCTGGCGGCGTTGCCATGGACGGGCAAACATTCAGAAAGCTGACGCCGTCACAACGTGATGCCATCATCCCTCGCTTGCAGGTTTTGGCAAGATCCAGTCCTGAAGACAAACTGTTACTCGTCACACGCTTGAGAGAGATGAAGGAGACGGTGGCTGTCACTGGTGATGGAACAAACGATGCGCTTGCTCTGAAGGCCGCAGATGTTGGCTTTGCCATGGGAATGCAGGGCACTGAAGTTGCTAAAGAAGCTGCTTCCATCATTTTGCTTGACGACAACTTTGCATCCATTGTAAAGGCCCTGAGTTGGGGCCGCACAGTGAATGATGCCGTCAAGAAATTCATCCAGGTACGTAACCTCTATGACAAGGCTCATATACGAGACAACAGGTGGCTAATATATATACATAGTTCCAATTTACCATCAACGTTACGGCAGGCATCACAACAATCATCTCTGAACTTGTGGGTGATTCCATTTTCACCGTCGTGCAATTGCTTTGGATCAACCTTATCATGGACATTTTCGCATCTCTTGCATTTGCTACCGATCATCCTTCGCCAGATTTCTTGATGCGGAAACCCGAGCCTCGAAATGCAGCCATTGTGACCATTACCATGTGGAAGATGATTGTCGGACAGTCCATTTACCAGCTTTTGGTCGTCTTTTTGGTACATTATGTCGGCTGGGATATATTCAATCCTGGAACTAAGCACGAAATTGACAAGTTGCAAACGCTAGTGTTCAACATTTACGTCTGGATGCAGTTTTTCAACCAGCACAACTGTCGAAGAGTGGATAATAAGCTCGATATTTGGTACCAGGGAATTCTAAAGAATCCTTGGTTTATTGGCGTACAGCTTTTGACGATTCTTGGTCAGTTCCTCATCATCTTCAAAGGAGGCGAAGCTTTCGACACGAAGCCGTTGACGGGAGCTCAGTGGGGATGGAGTCTCCTGTTTGGCAGCTTGACCATCCCGCTCGGTGCCCTGATCCGCCAAGTACCTGATGAATTGGTGGCAGATGTTTTTCTCGGCTTGAAGAAGCTCTTCCTTTTCATCACGACCCCCTTTCGAAGTGGCTGGGCCAGGATTTCGCGGAAAAAGAAGACCCAGCTGGGAGATGACTCCCATCAAGAGCTTGGAGTTATTGAGAACTCGACTGTTCCCGCCAGTTCACCAGCTGCAAACTCCTCATTTGGCGGGTCTGATCAAATCACTGCAGATGTTAAGACACGCCCTGTGAACAACAACAATAGCATAGCTGAAAGCTCCGCAATGGGTTCCATGGGCTCCATATCTGAAAAGATCGAGCTCGACCTGCAAGCGTTGATCAATGCCGCCAAGATAGGCCAGCTCGCCGACAAGGAGATGTTCGAGATCCATCCCCGCACGCTGAAAAACGATCCGATCACAGTACCGCGCTCAAACTCGGAAATACCGCCTAGCCAGGACCCGTACATTCTACGATACTTGGTCAGAATTCGGAGAAACAATGTTCGCGATGCAGCCAGCCAACCGGCTCGCAGGCCCACGGTCCCATCTCGGGTTACTTGGGTCGAGCCGAGGCGACCAGACCCTGCCCGAACAAGGCAACGGCAAAATCGACGGGATTGGTTTTCCATCGAGGGATGGCTGAGGTCAAGGAGGCGATAGAGTAGCCCATGAACTCAGACACCGTTTCGCCGTCCCCATTCTCTTTTTTTTCTCTTCCACCCCCCCTTTTTTGGTTTATCATTTAGCGCGTTTTTAAGGAGGTCAGACACCCTTCTCTATATTTAATGAGGAAATTGGGATCCATGGGGACTGGAATATCATGACACTTACGCATATACACATACACATACATCCGGCGAGGTGGGCTATGGGCCCCGGCTTATCATATTATATTTTTATTTTACTCTTTTTCTTCATTCTTCTTGGCAGTTATGCATCGGGGAATGGGCCAATTACATCATGAGGTACATGTTCTTCCTGTTGGAGGTAGAGGGATAGGCGCTCTATATGGATACAATATTTTTGGTCTTTGTTATGGAGGACGACGAAACGAGTGGTATAATTGAAAACGATATTGGTTTTTCGCTATCATCCCTTGACGTTGAACGGCAAATTGGAGGCATTGGTATATTGAGACGGATAAGGTATACATTATAATACTTCATGATTGAACCCATTACAATGGAATGAGATGTCATTTTTCTTCTAAATATCTCTACGGACTAGCAAAACGAAATGCAAATGCTATGATGCTTGAAAAAAGTACGGAAGCAATAAATCAACACTAATGGTTCTACGCTCAAGATTCATCTCCTCCATGCCATTCACCCTTGCCAATGAGATGTCTAAATGGGCCCCTGGCCTTGATCAGCTCTTCGTAACTGCCCTCTTCAACCTTGACTCCACCGTCGATCATCACGATGTTGTCACAAATCTGCATCATATCAGGTGTGTGTGTGACCACCACAATAGCCATCTCGCTCTCCTGCTCCTTAGCCCGTCCTACAAGCCCACGAACCGTCTCACGGATCATTCCCGAAGACTCTGCGTCGAGCGCACTCGTCGGCTCATCCAGAACGAGGAGCTTCGGCTGGCGAGCGAGCGCGCGGGCGATGCTCAGGCGTTGGGCTTGACCGCCCGAAAGAGAGATTCCGCCGTCGCCGACTGTGGTGGCGTAGCCTTCGGGGAGGGATGTGATGAAGTCGTGGATGCCGGCGGCTTGGGCGGCGGCGTATATGTTGAGGCTGTTTCTGAGGGGAGAGTCTTTGGGGAGGCCGTAGGCAATATTTTCGATGATGGTTGCTGGGAAGAGACGGGGTGTTTGCGAGACGTAGGCCATTGTTGAGCGGAGATGTTGTTTGTCGAGTTTGGAGGATGGAATGCCGGCGTAGGTGAGTGATGCTGTGTCTTTTGATGGGCAGTAGAGGCCCATGAGGAGGGATATGATGGTTGATTTGCCGGAGCCGGAGGCGCCGACGATGGCGGTGCAGCTTCCGCGCGTGATGTCGAAGGAGACTCCACGGAGGACACGGGAGTTGGGAGACTGCGAGTATGAGAATTGGACATCGCGGAACTCGATAGGTAGAGGCGTTGAAGTTTTGATGCCGTCTTGGGTTTCTTCTTCCGAGTCTACTGGCATTGTTGCGTAGGCTAGTAGTTGTGTTGCGGTTGCTTGGGCCATTGTCAGTTGAGGCATGCTGCTTAGAGCACCGGTTGAACTTCCAATGCTGAATAGTAGCAAGTTGATGACTTGCAGTACCTGTGTAGTGGTGGCGCCGTCGCCCTTTGCCAGCAAGAGGGTGGCATAGTAGAACACCAGGGCAGTCATGGGATAGTTCATTGACTGGTATAAGCCGAAAAGGCCGCAAGTATAGCCCGCCCTCTTCATACCCAGGTTAAGGGTATGCGATATCAGCTTCTGGTACTTTTCGCCGAAGTACTTTTCGAGCATCAATGCTCGCACGACACGGATGTTGACAAACGTCTCGTTTAAAATTGCGCCAGAATCGGTGGCTCCTTGATTGCATTTGGTTTCCCACTTGCCGCTGAGAACGGTATATCCCTTGACGGCGCCAATGATCAGAGGCAGGGGCGAAAGTGCAACGAGAGTGAGCTTCCAAGATATCGAAAGAGCCCATATGATGGAAATGGTAACCATGCCAAAGGTAGTGATGAAGATGGGAATGAATCGCCCAACGATGTTTCGCGTCTCCTCGGCGTTTCTGTCAAGACACTCATTGATTCGACTGGCTGAGTTCTTCTCTTTGTCGAACCATGACTTTGGCTGTCGAAGGATTTTCTTCAGGGCTTCTAACCGAAGGGCGTTTACCCAGGACTGGCCGGTTCTCTCAATCAAATAGTGACCGAAGCCCGTGGAGAATGAATCAATGGTGGCTATCGCCACTAGATATAGCGCCCATTTTTTCGCCTCGACTGTTCTATTGACTGGCAAGAATAGGACTCCAAAGAGCTTTGCGAGGCAGAATGAGAACATTGGCGTTCCTGCTGAGCTGATCAAACACAGCACAATTCCTAGAATGAACAATATGCGATCACATGGTTTGAGTGTAGGCCAAACAGTGCCTAGGGTCGACAGTAGACTGCTCGGCTTTGCACCTTTCTGGGTTGCAAGTACGTCTTTACCGGTATGTGGAGGCGACTCAAGGCCAGAGGCAAGTCGTAAGCTGGAAATATTCTCCCGACGGTCCGCCTTTCCAAACACATACAACAATTCGTCTGTGTTGTACCCCGAATCGTCAAAGAACTCCATCTTGTACTCGCTTCCCGAAGAAGGCATATGACCAGCCTCTGGTGCGCTGCATCTACGGGTTGGTCCAAAGTATTCGTCGAAAGAGTTGTAGGAGTCCCTCTTCTCGGTCTCATAGTAGCGCGTAGCTACATCGGCTGTGTATGGCCGTTCGGAATCGAAGCTGTCCCATATCTGCTCTTTTCGTAGTTTCAGAGCAAACTCTGTTCCGGCTCCCAGAGTCTTATACTGGGATAGCCGGTGCCAGGCTGGGCCCATGCCGTCACCGTCTCGCTCTGTGAGCATAAACTGCGACATGGATGATTTGGGGTCTTGCGGCAGCTCCGTGATTGTCGACGAACTGTACCTAACCGGACTGGGAGGGCTGACATCTCCCATCTCAGTTGGTGTCGAAGAAGGAGCAGACTCAACAGAATTCAGAGAAGTCATGGCTGCAAAGGGTCCAGTTGGAGACATGGCCAACTCTCTTCGGAATCCCTGCTGCACCAAGGAAGCGTCTTCCATTACATAGACAAAGTCTTCATCTTCGATTTGACTGATGTCGTGAGTAATGACGATGGTTGTTTTGTCTCGTCGCCACTCTCTGATAGCATCTATCGCCAAGCCTCGGTTGATTTGATCCAGACTACTCGTCACTTCATCAAGGATGAGCACGTCCGGATCTCGAATTCTCGCTCGGGCAAGCGCAACTCTTTGTCTTTGCCCTCCACTCAACTCGTGCCCGTTGGAACCGATGCGCGTTTCGAGACCTTCCGGAAGGCTGCTCAGCGTGGATTGTAGCAATGCAAATTCGCAGGCGGAGGAAACAGCTTCTCTTGTCACATTCTCAGGATCACCGAGGCCGATGGCCACATTGTTGAAAAAGCTGTCGTCGAACACCACGCTCAACTGCTGTATCAAGGCAATTTTGGATCGGACCCAAGTCGGGTCCAAGCTCGTCAGAGGCTGCCCGTCCAAACAGACAAGTCCAGATGAAGGCTCATAGAATTGAGCAATGAGATTGCCGACCGTGCTCTTCCCAGACCCGCTTCTGCCAACGATGAACGTGAGTTGGCCTGCTGAGAAGGAAAAGGACGATCTGTTGAGAACCACCTTTGTGGGATTGGAAGGATATGCAAAAGTGACCTGTATTAGGCCATTATTAGTTGCCATGATTGAGAACAAGAAGAGAAATGACGGCACATACATCTACCAAGTCCACGTTTCCAACACAAGCAGAAGGCTGCGTTCTATTGTCGCCTTTATCGATATTTGTTTCGTCGTTTTTGTTCAACATGGATAAGAGAAAGGATCCCGCAGACATGCCTTTGGACAATACAAGCCAATGCGGCAGTAATGCCTCGATCCCCTGAAATGCCGCAAGGACAGAAAAAAAGGTAGTCATGACTTGACCGGGCGTCAGCCCTCCGTCGACGAGAACAGTTCCATACCAAAAGCCCGCTATAAACATGCTCACGATCCAGAAGGCGACGTAGCTCATCTGGAGGCAATTGCACTGAGCCTGTATCAAGTATCGTCTACCAGCCGACTTGACAGCTTCGTGATATTGCCAGAGCTCGCGGTCGTAGCCGTTGAAAACTTTGACAATTGCGATGGCTTTGATAGATGAAGTAGCAAACTTTGACGCGGTCTCTAGATCACGCTTCTGGGCTTGGATTGCTGGGTCTAGCCGCCTGGTTGCGAGTGACAGGGCCATGATGGACACAGGTAGGGTTGCAAATAGGACCAAGGTGAGCTTCCAGGAGTGAGAGAATGCTATAGTGAGGGAAGCGATGGAAAGAATGAAGTCGGCGACCAAGAGCCCGAGGACTTGCGACGTCGCCAGCTGGAGCTCTCGCGTCTGACTGTTTCTCAATTAGCATTCATTTATGGGCTTCACAAGATGAGATTGATGTAAACTTGCGTTTGGATCCGGACCAACAGGCCAGAGACTCCCTGGTCCAAAGAATCATACCAAGACATCTTCTTGGACAGTAGGCCTTGAAAGATGCCTTGGCGGACAGAGTTGGCTTGCAATTCTCCAAAGATGTTCCATGACGCCAGAAAAGCCGTGCTTGCAAGCCAATTTCCGAATCCCATGCCCAGTAGCACCAGGCCCCAGTGTGATATTTGATCAATGGTTTCATTGCCAGAGCGATGGCCAGCCCCAAAATCGGAAACAACGTCGAATATTTTGCCCAAGATGATGGACTGGGCCGACTTGATTGAAGCAAATGCGGCAGATGTAACGACTGCCGCAATGAGCAGTCCCGCATGATTCCATCTTGTAAAGGAGAAGAGGTGCTTGAAAGACGAGCGTTGGGGTTTGCTGTCGGTGACTTGGCGATTGGGAGAGGAAGCGATATCAACAACCAGCGTTGAATTGTCCGCCAAGGTTGGTGGCGACGCCGTTTCTTTATCGTTTGAAGCCATCACACTGAATCCTTTGCAGCGGTTGGATAGAGAAACTCGGAAGCCATTGGCATAAGGAGGGAGATGAAGAGGAGGGAGAGGGTGGGGAGGATGGAGCCATCACATATGAAGGCCATGATGAAGATTTCCGATCAAACGTGAATTCCACCAACGCCGTCAAACTGATTTCCAGGTGAGTAAATGATGCCACATGCAGGATCCCGTAAGAGGACAATGCAGAAAGCTGGTGGTGAAGTGGGGAAATGAGGCTTGAGCCTGTGCATTGTTCCATCTCCACCTTGATATTGTTCCAATTTACGAGCCAACAGGCCAAACAACAAAGAATCACTTTTTTTGTTATAACGCGAAACATCGGATGAAGGAAAGCTGATGCAATGATGCAAATCATTGTGATTCCTAATGCAGTACAAGGCGAAACGGGTGCCTGTGTTTCATCACAACAAAAGTGTTTCTGCAAGGACCAGTCTGTGGCTTCGTGTAGCTAGTACTGTGTAACCGTCCGAGTTGACCAAGAATGATGGGCTCAATGGATGCTGCTATATTGTAAATAAATGCTGCTACATGTCCAGAATGAGAATACAAAGATTGTGGTTGCGGAATTGAAGATTCTGAACATCATCAGGCGACAACACACACGCTGTCCTAGACGCGCATGTTCAAGTGTGATACTAGGTAGTCCTTAACCATCTAGATAGATGTAGTAAAAGGCCAAGATTCTTCAACGTCGCCTCACAAGCCGTACAATCCAAGCCACCTTTTTAAGCAGCAGCTACTATCTTGCCAACTAAGAGCATCTAGAGGTACTCGTTAATTTCCATAGATTGCGTCACAATCATCACCCATTGCAATCCGATAACCACACACATCAACAAGATCAGCGACAGAGAAAGAAAGATGATCTTGTAGGAAAGCAATATCAAACCCCGCCAATTGGCCCAAGAGAAACTACGCCACGCATCTGAGATCGTGGCATAATCCCGACCATTCATACGAGCCGCTTGGATCCGACCCTTGAAAGAACGGTCAAAGGGAATAATGGTGCCGTCTTCCACAGGGAGAAGAGACGCCTGGATTCGCAGTAGGACCACTTGACTCGGAACAACGAAAAATATGGAGCTGACGACGCTGGCGAAGATGATGGCGGCACACTTGAAATAGAAGACAGCATCCCCAGCGGCCATGTCTAGGCGAAAGCTGTAGGTATTGTCCGGCCCAAAGAGGCCGGGAGAGGGCCAATCGATGTTCATGCGTGAAGCGACCATGGAAGGAAACCGGCCTGTAAACTCTACCGCAGCCCAGTGGAGGATAGTCGCTCGCCAGGTTGCCTGCAAAGTACGCTTAAAGGGAGGCACGCGGCTCCAGAACGATCGGTTGGTTGTTTGAGCGATGACGAGGTGCAGCCACAGTGTGGAGAATTGAACCGTCAAAAGGGAACAGAGCAATCTTGCCCCGATGTGATATTTAAAGCCCAGAAATCGGCCGTAGTAACCAAGAAGACTCGACGTGGTAATCGATTGCAATAGAGCAAGGGTGAGGCCGCGAAAGTTGGCTAAAATGCCGCCGTTGTTCACGAGGAGTCGATAGATGGCGGATGGAGACGACGTGTTTGTTCGTGGAAGAAAGGGGGATGATGATTTCTTGTGAACATCATTGAGATTGAGGGAACCGTGTCTCATAGGTTCCTCGTCTTGTGTAATGGCAAAGACTGGATAGACATGAGGCAAGGTGTAGTTTAACTAGCCATGGAAAACATGGCAATGTCAGAAGGTGTCAAGACAAGACTATATAGCCTAGAGCAGCTCTAGGTGAGGAGAAGGGTCTGAAAAGGGACAACACATACGACAACAATAAGGGGCAGGAATACGGCAAAGTCGAGGAGCAACACAATTCGCGCCCACCAAGGCACCTCGAAGGTGAAGTGTTCAAAGGAGTCGGTTGGATAAAGAGACCATTTCATAGAATTAAACATTGTTGAACTGTCCATTTCAGGCATATGTGCTCCCCGTAGTTGGGAAGCTAGAGGTGATAAGATTGTATTGGAGGCTGCAGTTTACAAAGAAAGCCTCGTATAAAGGAGGGCTACTTGACATTTTAAACTTGTGGCGTGTAGGTGCCACGTAAGCCCCCTTGTATTGCTGTATAAATCTCGGCCATTTCCATTCTAGGTTGATACCCAGCCGTTAACATGATTGAACCCGGCGAAAACCAATGTCGGTAGTTGACACGTAGCGAACACGGTTTCAGTAAAGTAGGAACAAAAGTATTTATACAGTCAAGGTCTTATTGTTTACCTGAAATATATTCTTCTACCTTTTGATGAATCGCCCATATTCTATGAAGTAAAGTACATGAACTCATGAGTGGATAAATCTATCTGTGTATTATATCAAAGTATTAGATTCAACTCAATACAATTTGCTTAATTCAACTCTTATTTATGCATAGTCTTCTTGATATAAGATCCCTGGCCTTCCTGGGAACGGTTAAGAGCAATGAAGTCAGACTCCCTTGTTAATACGTGGCCAATTCCCCAAGTTGCTGAAAGTAGGGCGAAACACAGTGATGCGCCTGAAGATGAGTCTTCTTTGAGTAATACTGCCAGGTCGCAACCCGAGTGGGTATAACGATTACCGAGCTCCGAGGTCTATTCGTCTGTCCAGTAAAAGTTCAACAGCTCCCACCAATCTCCGAGAAGCTGATCATATCTGAACCACATTTCGGCTGAATGAAATACCTGCTCCGAAGACCAAATTTAGAACGCAATGAAGAAAGAAAATTGTTCATGAAATTTCATCCGCAATTAGGGCTGTGATGGATGACTCTGTGTTATGAGGCTTAATCGAGGCAATCTGGCAGGGCCTCAGCGCAGTACTTTGGACTACAAAGAGAATTCATCGCGACGTCGCAGATCCGTGCAGAGGTCAGACAAAAATTATTAAGACATTTGGCTTGAGCATTTTAGCTTCGGGTTAAATATAGAGTTATTTTTTACTAATACATTGGGAGCAGAGTATTGTATTGCACTCTATGCTGTCCAGTATTGATGTGTAAGAATTCTAACGCGCATCCAGTCTCTTTTGGGACAATCTGTATTAATAGTGGTGCGCGCAGTCACTCCCACAGCGCAATCTGACAGAAACAGGCAGTTGTTTGCACTTTTTGTGATTACTACGACATTGCCTAAGAAAAGTTGCCGACTGTTCTCTATGTGCCTTCAGCTAATCGTTTTCCATTGTCTAGATTAATGATTCTATCATAGTATTTGATAGATTCAAGTCGATGGATGATTGCAATGATTGTGTGCTCCTGGCATTCCTCGGCAATCACTCGTTCCATCGTTTCAGCAGTCTCTTTATCGACGCTGTACGAACATGTACAATGATTAGCTGAAAACTTGCATACAGCGAGTGGAAGGGAATAAAAGGAACCAAGGGTGATGGATTATAAAACAATACCTGCTTGTAGCCTCGTCAAGGATCAAGATCTTTGAGGGTTTCAAAATTGCCCTAGCTAGACAAAACAGCTGTTTCTGCCCGTGGGAAAAGGCATCAAAACAAAGCTGTGCATCTAATCCGCCTTCTTGTTGGATTTTTGCCCACAATTCTAGTTTGTGTAGAATTGCGATGATTCTTTCTTCTGAGATGGAGTTTGCTTGGTCTAAGTTAAGGCGAAATGTGCCAGGAAAATAACACGGCTCTTGAGTCACAGAGCTGAGACGTGAGCGGATTTCGTGACGGGAAATTGTGGACAGATCGATGCCATCAATACTTATGCTGCCTTGAGAAAGCTCAAGCATCCCCAGAAGGGCAACAACGATGGATGATTTGCCACTTTCCGAGAGAACAAGATTAGTATGCCCCCCAAATACCCAATAACGAAGCTTTCTCACCTGCCACTTGGACCGCAAACTGCAATCTTTTGACCTGCTTCAATTGATAGTGAAATGTCGTCTAGAGCCAAGGTCGAATCTTGCCTTTGCAATGTTAGTGTCAAGTAACGTCCATCCTAATTATGCTCGTGTTGACTGACCGGTAAGATGCTTTCACGGCTTTAAACTCGACGCGTCCCACACTCGGCCAATTAGCTGGAGGCTGTTGAACCTCACCGGCGAGATTTTCGGAAGGGGTTTCTCGTTCAAAGCTTTCAAGCCTTGATATTGCTCCCATGGAGTTCTCGAGGGCTGTCCACTCCGTAAGCACATTTTTTATCGTCTCCCCCAAATTCGTCAAGTTAAGCAGCGCAACTCCAAGAGATGCAGAATGCACCTTGTCTCTTAGGCCTACAGCAAGTCCAACAACGATAAGAGCCAAACCTGCGACTGTCAAATCTAGAACAACGCCTAGCCACGCTTGCAGAGCCCACAGGGTATATAGCGGTCGCTGTGAGTCATCCAGCAACTGGTCATTCTGAGTCCGGAAGGCCGATTGGTAGGAAAACGCCCGGACAGAAAATATGCCACTTATTGTTTCCAAAAATTGCTCATATAAAGGCGATTCGGCCTCCAGAGCCATCACTCGAAGTTGTTTTGATGTGCGAAGATAAAAGCGTTGGAGAAAGTAAAGTAACAAAAGTATGAGTGGGTAAATGGCGATAATGTAGACGCTGGAGATTGCCATGATCGCAAGTTGTACGACGCAAGTTATCATCTCTGCCATGGTCTTAGTTTGAGATGGGATTGCCAGAGGCGACTTAGCCCATGAGGAAAATATAGGGATCAATTTACCTGTTGCGGTATTAAACAACTTATAAGGTAAAGTGTGGTCGACTAAGAACATGTCTTGACTGAATCTGCCATGTTGTTATTAGAAGGGCTGGGGTAAGTTGTCGGTCGTGGAATACCTATTTACAAGCACGCCAACTTCAACAGCACTAATGAATGAGAAAGGGGACCTATAATATTATGATTAGTCTTGTAGGCATTAAAAGAAATCAGCATCAAACGTACCCTAGCACAGAGTTCAGCAAGCGTGTATGTAGCCTTTTCCCGGAACTCGTCGTAAACCTGGACATCAAGTGCCTATTACGATTCGTTAGAAATTCAACAGTTTGATTCCAATATACGAGATGAGAGGAAGAGGCACCAAATACACATCGCCAAGGATGAGATGGCGAGTATTTGAAACGTTGAGTATATTCCAAGCCAATATGCAGTCCTTTGGTTTGGTGCTTTAGCTTCTGCGTCAAACCATAATGAAACCCAGACATCTAAACACGTAAAGGCGTAAGTTTCGACCACAGTGGCATATACAAACAGTGTGAAATAGTGAAATACCTGGAATTTTCAAGAAAACGCCGAAAGCAACGGCTGTCATTGCGAATATTGAACAGTGCATAGCTCCAATAGCCTTGTAATAATACCCATAAATAGCGCGGTCTTTTGCTTGATGTGATATCCCATGCTTGGCGTCATTCATAGGCTGCACTGCCACGACAACATTGTTTTCCTCTTTCGTCTTGTAGGCAATTGTATCTTCTTCGAGTTCTTGTGAGTCTTGGCCCTTGCTCTCCGAGCTGCTGCAAACAGAGGCGATGTAGCCATTTGATGCGATAAGTTCATCCAAAGTGCCTTGCTCTAGCGGCACCCCCTTGGCGCTTAAAACAAAGATCTGGTCCGAATACCGAAGTCTGTGTGCTGTACGTGTTGATTAGTATGAAAATTAATGTTAGAGACCTGAGAAGCACATACTAGCGTGAGTTGCCAAAACAACTGTCGCTTGTAGTCGTCGAAGAAGACCGTCGGATCCCCAAAGACGATGAAAGATAAGTCCCTCTGTCTCTTTGTCAATGCCACTGAAGACATCATCTAATATCAGTAGCCTGCGTCTGGCGTATATTGCGCGTGCTAAGGCCTGTGTTCAAGTTAAGTTGTGGACATAGATTTGGAGAAGATTGTCAACGATCCGGACTTACGATACGTTGCTTTTGCCCTCCACTCAAATTTATCCCCCCGCTGCCAGCAGCATGTAAATCTCCATTGGCGAATCTTTCAATATCCTTATCTATCGCACAAGCATGAAGCACGGTGGAATACCATGCTTCATCAAAGGGCAATGGTGCAATGATGTTTTGCCGCACGCTCGTGTTTCTCAGCCAGGGAGTTTGATCACAATATCCAATTTGATCCGACAAACTTATGCAACCTTTTAGAATTGCCACTTCACCAAGCATAGCTTTCATGAGAAGGGACTTCCCACTTCCCACTGGGCCGACAACCATCAGTAGCTTGCCATGGGCAACCCTCAGACTGATGTTGTGTAGAATGGCAACTTTTCCCTGAAGCCAAGCAATACTCGCATCATGGATCACAATTGCATCCGTATCAGGACTCGCCGACGCGAAAGTAGAAGCAATATCGCTAGACTTCTCATGAGATATCAAGGTACTGGAGCTTGAATTGCCATGAGGCTCCGGTTGAATGAGTGCCCTATAATCGTCACGAGGTGCACACTCAACAAACACTTGTATCCTCTGAAAGCAAGATAATGCCGATTGCAAGGATGGAAGAAATTGAAACAAGGTTATAAGAGGAGTTCCAAGCAGGCTGATCAGAGTCAACGCTGTAAACATTCTAGATATATCCAGAGACTCGTGATCTCTATTAGCGATTGTTGTATAGATGGCGAAGACCGCAATAGGCGATAAGATTGAGGTGGAGTAAGCTTTATTGCATTAGCAAGAGCATCTTAGGAATGTTTTGACCCAGGCCAATTAAACGGCTCAAGTTTCACTTACAAAGAACGATAGATATCAACGTTAGATGTCTGTAGGCCTTTGATACCTTTAATTCCTGGTCTCTGAAAGACTCCAGAATGCTTCGGAAGCGGGACTCTAGACCCAACATCTTGATTTCTTTGATCCATCCTAGCATGTTGGCAGTCGCATTCACTCGTTTCTGGCTAGCCTGTATCCAAACTCGCTGCCGTTCGCCTATGTACTTGGAAACCAGGAGGGTAAGACCTGTGCATGCTGGAGGTAGCACGATGTTAGTTATAAATGTCCATTCATTGTGCAAGTGACAAATAGGCAAGACAAACTTGAAAATACCATGACAACACCGACGACGGCCCAACGAATTTGCAATTCAAGCAGCCAAATAGCTAAGCTTGCCTCCAGTGTGCATGCCCAAGTCTCATGGAGGGGCCTTAGACCTGCTACGATCCTTTGGACATCGTTGCTCATGAGAGACATACCGAGTCGCTCGTCGTCAGTGCTACTCATTGTCAAAGTCTTATTATAGATGAGAGTGATCAGACTGCCCCTGGTCATGATGATCCATCTGTTGGTGAGGCGCTGATACCACCCATTTGCAATCTGAAATGTATGTCAACATTGATCTACTCCCCAACATGCATTCTCTAGCTGCACTTACTGCAATTCCAATGTATACTAGCGCGTATGCTCCAAGCAGCCCATAACCATTAGACGGACTCTCTTCATGACTATTTTGCAGATATCTGATCATCCTGTTGACGAGAAACGGCTGGGAGAATGTGAACCCAGTCAAGAAAAGTCGTGGGAGAACTGGCACAAAGAGTGATGTGTTCAAGGTCTTAGAAATAATCCAGATCAATGTCCCCTTTCTAAGCTTGCCGGGTGTCTCGACTGAATCTGATCTTCTTTAGCTGGATTTGCCCAGTAAATTTTATAGAGCCACATCAATGACTTACCGGTCATTCTATCCCATTCTCGTTGAGTTTTATGCCCCAAATACTCTGAGGCCATTTCTCCATCAATAGCATAAAGGTCATCAATTGCGAGAGTTTTCCGAAATCCAAGTTTCAGGATGGGTAGAATCCATGTGAAAAGAGAGAGGCCGAAGATTCCACTCAGTGCCTCTGGAGATATATTTTTACCCATCGATGTTGGAAGAAGTATTTTTGGTGTACTTTCCAATATGAGAATAGCGAGTTTGATCCCCGTGGCGGTTGTGTATAGAATCGAGATTCTAGTCTCCTGCATAGAAAGCCACAACGTTCTGATGCGAACTGCATCCAAGACAACAATAACAGAGAGATAGGTAGTGAGAATTGCCGATGGCTTGATGGATGTTGCGTGCTCTGCGTGGGAGAGGGCCATCATGGCAGGAACAACGACTACGGATATAGTTGCAGCAGCTACTGTGCACCGCGTTTTGAAAGCGTCAGGGCGACAGTATTCCACTAACAAAGCAACTTCTAGTATAAAGTAGACAACTATGAGTAGCTGATCATATATTCAACGCTTAGTGCTTCGTTTCATTTCCTAATATCTGAACATCACAAGGGGCTTAAACTAACCAGCTTCAGGAAATACAACCAATTGATCTCAGATTTTCTTGTTCTGTGAATTTTGATGCTAAGATTTAAGCATCCTATTATCAAAAAGATGCTCGAGGGCAGAATTGAAAGCATGCTTTCCTCAAAAAGTATGGTAAAGTCAAAATGCCTACGGCATACAGCCACTGCAGGTCCAAAGACATCATCCAAAGAAGGAGAGCAATTCATTTCTCCCAGAACAGTCTTGGAAAACTTGAGTGTAATGCGTGATTAGGAATCCAGAAATCGATACCGTGAACTTAGTAATAGAGAACAATAGTTTACTATCTATGTTATCACAAGCCGAGGCCTTGCTTATGGGGAGGGCTGACTAGAAAGGATACCCTTGCTACGTTTTGTCATACTGTAGCGCCGACAGGGTATAATATTGGGCTAATCATGGCAATTATGGCAATTATGATGACAGAACCAGCGGTTTATAAGGGACTGATCCGTATTACGATTGACTGAATAATAATGTTTGGGGGGGGTGAGATAGTGATTTCCAAGGCTATAAAAATAGCTATAGAGCTTAAAAACAAGCCCAGCTGGAGGAAAGAAACACATTACAGCCTTGTCTATTGCAACAGTTAAATGCCTCATAAGCAGCTAATTCTATTACAAGAAATGATAAAGGGGAAAGCTCTTAAACGAGGCACTCGATTTTCACAAGACAAGTGTGTTATTTTCACACACCCATAAACTGCATTAGGAAATCGCCCCCCCCCAACATAGAGGTAGTTATCAGTAAAATCCACAAACCGTTATTTTCTACAATCACATATACTATCCAGCTAGATGAAGGTTATCCAGCTATATTAAAGTCCTCCAGCTAGATCAAGGCCATCCGGTTTGGCCAAGGTCATCCAGACAGATCAAGTTCGTTTAGTTGTATCAAGATCATCTAATTATATTTAGTTCATCTAGTTGGATCTGTAAAAAAGTATTGGGGAGAGATGACAGTTTGTAATTTAACCATAATTACTATGTGGGTTTTGCCTTTCTAATGTGGCTTACCGTCGTGTGGAAATAACACTTGTCGTGTGAAAATTGAGTCCCTCTCTTAAACCAGCGAACTTCCTTGAATCTCTGAATAAGACTCGGGGAGACTATCCACCGGATGCGGTAACCATGGTAGCTAAAGAGACAAATTAACACCGAATCAGCTGGTCTGACCGGCATTCTGGAGAGCTTTTTGAAAGCCGCAGCCAAGGCGGTAGTCCCCGTATGAAAGATAACTAATCTGGCTGCGGTCAACGGAGAAACAGGAATCCCTTTATTAGCAACGGTATGACTGGCGTAAACTGGGCTATGCACGGCAGCACGGTTCACATGGAAACCTAGACAGGCACCACCCAGTTAGCAGGCGTATTTACAGACGGCTTTTACCTAGAATACTGCATGTACTAACTACCTAGACTGTAACGCACAGCGGCTTTAGTGGAAAAAACAGACAGACCTTCCTTTTTTATTATGAATAAAGGGGCTGTCTGGGTAGGCCTAGACTTCGGAGATCTTTCTAAGGTGGAGGCAGTAATAACCTGAAAGCATCAACCTGGAGCTGCTGGGCAATGTCCCCGGATTAACCCTCCTAGCTTATTTGGACGGATCCATTACAAAACAAAGAAGGCAACACAGGTTGGGGCGCCGTGACGTACCATGAATGCAGGATGAGTGCCTCCTGCGGGTCACTCGCTAGCTTTATGATGCCAGAATGCGGGCCCTTGACAATCCCAGTATATAAGTAATCCTAGATAACTCTGCAGTAGTGGACGGAAGATTTAGAGCTACCCCTGCTTAGGTTATTACAAAGGGCCTACATGGGCACGCGACAAGTTGCCCAGAAGCTGTTTCCATAACGGTGGCCTGGGTCCCCAGTCACAAAGATACGTGTATAACTAGTTGGGGTAATGAAGAAGTCGGTAGGCTAGTAAAAGAGGGTTTAGAGCTCCCAAGATACTGGAGTAAATGCTCCACTATTACGTGTACTTTTTATCAAAAGGTGGGTAAAGAAAAAGCGCAAAGACGTTGTCACGACCTTGGATCTTATGGTTACAATAATAGGCCTGACCATCTTTTTGTATTCTGTTAATTGCCGCTGTCTCAATTGGCTGTCGTTGGCAGCCATCAAACTCGTATATGTCAACTGCTGACAATCTTGTAAGCTGAACCCTTGACTGTAGGGATGGCCTGCGGGCAGCTACGGTATAGGCCTTAGCTGGAGCCCAGGTTGGTGGCCAGATAACAATCCCGTTCATACAGCTGCCTCCAGTCTTAACAAGACACTCTTGCATGAGACCAAGGACATTCTGTAAATCTCCGTCTCCGTAAGTCTCCATACGTCTCTCTCAGCTGGTTCCTAGACGGTTCCGGTAAATCCTCTTACAGGAGGTTAGTTCAGTAAAGCTTTCAACATACTATGTAAACGTAAATAGTCTAATACACGGGATTCCGTGCGCCTAGGGTACGTTTTATAAGCCGTATTTAGAATGGAAACACGGGATTCCGTGCGCCTGGGGGGACCAAGATTCCATAAATCTCCGTCTGAGTAAGTCTCTATAAGTGTCTGAGCTAGTTCCTAAAAAGTTCCGGCACCGGGTACCGGTAATTGTTCCTACAAGAGGTTAGTTCAGTAAAGCTTCCAACATACCATACAAAAGAAAACAGTTATATATATAAATCAAATAATGTTCTCTCAGCCAGTTTGTCCAGTAATCAAACAACTCTCGATAACCAAACAACTTAATCTTTCTTCATTATCTTTGCACAAAGCCAAACGATGCTATCTTCTGACCTGAACACCATCTGGGCCTGGAATGCCACCGTGCCTGCTGTGGTAGAAAGATGTGTACACGACATATTCATTGAGATTGCACATGAACAGCCAGAATCCCCAGCAATATGCGCCTGTGATGGTGAACTCACCTACGGACAACTAGACGAGCTTTCTTCTCGGCTCGCTAGATCTCTCATTGAGGTGGGCATATGCCCAGGCACGATAGTACCACTATGCTTTGAGAAGTCTATGTGGATGCCGGTGGCTATGCTTGGCGTGATGAAGGCCGGTGGAGCATCAGTAGCCCTTGATACTTCTCAACCAGTTGAGAGGCTGTTGGGTATCATTCAGCAGGTTGGCTCACAAGTGATCCTAACCTCTTCTTTGAATTATGAGTTGGCATCCATACTCACAAAATCCACACCGATCATTGTGGATAGAGGATCTCTTATAACCCATCAGTTCAAGACAACAATGGGGAAAGATGATTCTACTCATCTTGCCAGTGTGTCTACGAAGCCCAGTGATCTACTGTACGTGGTTTTCACCTCTGGCAGCACGGGTACTCCAAAGGGAGCAATGATCACGCATTCCAATTTCTCCAGTGCAGCTCGGTATCAGCAGCCATTCTTACATCTGCACCGGCACTCACGAATTTACGACTTTGCCTCGTACAGCTTTGATGTATCTTGGTCAAACTTTCTAAACGCAATAACCTCTGGAGGATGCTTGTGTATCCCATCAGAACATGATAGAAAGAATAGGATCGAGGATTCTATGAGAGAACTGCGAGCCAATTATGTCGAATTCACTCCATCAGTTGCTGAGCTTCTCAATCCAGAGCTCCTACCAAAACTCGACGTTCTGCTGCTTGGTGGTGAGCTTTTAGTGCAAGAACGTCTCTCATGCATTCATGCCCCTCTTAATGTCATTAATACATATGGGCCAGCAGAGTGTACAATTACCAGTACAGGGGTCAAGGTTGAGCCTGGTGGCCCCGATATCAAGAGCATCGGACGAGGTCTAGGAACAACTACCTGGGTTGTCGACCCTAACAACCACAACCAGTTGGTTCACCTCGGGGATGTCGGCGAGTTGCTGATTGAAGGCCCGCTAGTAGGCCAAGGCTATCTTAATGATCCAGCCAAGACAGAAGCTGCATTCATCGACAGTCCGCCGTGGCTTTTACGAGGCGGAACTCATGTCCCCGGTCGTCATGGTCACCTGTATAAGACAGGGGATCTAGTGCGATACAATGAGGATGGAACACTCTCTTTCCTGGGGCGCAAGGACGACCAAGTCAAGATTCGTGGCCAAAGAGTAGAGCTGGGCGAGGTCGAGCATCATATACGGCAACTGCTGCCTTCTGCAGAGGTAACGCAAGTTGCTGCAGAAGTCATCTCACCGGAAGGCATCAGTACAGAAGCTCTTATTGCATTTATTGTATTAGGCGGTTCAGCGACTCTTTCCGAGGACCAAGTTCAGGTCAAAATGGCTGTGCTGACAGCAACCTTGAACGAGACGCTGGCCCAACAAGTGCCCTCATATATGATTCCAAACGCGTATGTTCCGTTGACCGCCATCCCTATCACGCCCAATGGGAAAACAGACAGGCGACGCCTCCGTGAAGAAGGTCGCCTGCTTATCGCGAGCAGTTTCGTTCGCGATAGCTCTACTTGCCCTCAGCTTTCAGATCTTCAGACATGGTTGGCTGGCTTATGGGCACAGGCTGTCAAAATTCCGCATTTGGTGGTTGGGCCGCTAGATAACTTCTTCACAATCGGAGGTGACTCAATTGGTGCTATGCGGCTCGTCTCCCTAGCGAGAAACGAAGGGGTCACGTTGACAGTCTCTGAAGTCTTCCTTCACCCTACACTCCAACAGATGGCTTCAAAGTTGGAGGCACTTTCCTTGTCTCGCGGTGAGAGTCCGAGTACTGAGTTTTCCCAAGAAACATTGGCAACTACTATATCAGAGGTGTCATCCACCATTCTTCCTGAATACCTTGATAGACTTGGTCCCGTGGAGGATGTTTTCCCGTGTACACCTCTTCAATCAGCCCTTTTTTCGCTTTCTGAGCAGGATCCTCACCTCTACCTTGGGCAGCACATATTCAGACTACATCAGTCTACCGATATTCCTAGGTTCAAATACGCAGTGGAGCAAGTCATGCGAGCATCGCCAATTCTGCGGACAGCCATTGTCCCTAGTGAAGACCGCCTAAACACACTACTGCAGGCAGTAGTCCGACACAATCGAGTTTACTGGACTCAGTATAGTGGCTTACTCAACCAGTTCCTCCTGAAGGATGTACAGAAACCCTTTAGTTGTGGCGATCTGATGACTCGGGTTGCTTTAGTGACAGATGGAGACAGCTTAAATCCATCCACGTATTTTGTGCTTACCGCCCACCACGCAGTCTATGATGGCTGGTCACTATCTCTACAGATGAAAAACGTCGACCGAGTCTACAGAGGGTTAGAAATACCACCGAGTGTTCCTTTCAAGGACTTTGTTCAAGGGATACCTCTTCCCCTTGGAGAAGATGCTTATTGGAAGCAGCAATTTGACGCCTTCAATGGCTCACATTTCCCTCCACTGCCCTCTGCGGAGTACAAGCCTATCACTCAGGCTTCCATACGAATGAATTTGGACATTGACAGACAGAAGCCGTCTTCATTCACCATAGGGACACTTTTACGCGCTGCATGGGCTGTTACTGCAGCAACTTATTCGAACTCGGATGATGTGGTGTTCGGCTCAACCTTGTCCGGCAGAAATGTCGATTTCGAAGGAATTGAGCACGTAAACGGTCCGACGTTTACCACTGTTCCGCTCCGTCTATATCCCTCTCGCAACAAGTCCGTCTTTGACCTGCTCTCGGAGGTGCAAAGGGAGAGCGCGCAAATGATTCCTTTCGAGCATACTGGTCTAGCAAAGATTGCCAGAATGAGTCCTTACGCAAAGATGGCCTGTGGTTTCAAGACCTTGTTTGTGATTCAGCCTTTAGATGAGGGTGAGCCATTTGTCTCCTTTGAGGAGGTTGCAGGTCAAATCAACTACTCATACGCACTTGTTCTGGAGTGCAATCTCACCTCAGATGGCGTGTATCTGCATGCAATGTACGATCCGAAAGTTCTTGACGAGCCGCAAACGAAGAGAGTTTGTTTGAAATTTAAAGACATTGTCCAGCAGATGGGTCGGGAATCCCCGCAACAGAAGGTGGGCGAGCTACGCGGCGCCGAGAGGCACGATTTTGTCGAAATGCTTAGCTGGGTCAAATTCATTCCAGAGTCTCATGGGTTTATTCACCACGCTATCAGTGATCATGCTCTAAATCTATCTTCGAGTGAGGCAATCTGTGCCTGGGACGGCCGGATGACCTACGCTGAGCTGGACAGCTATTCCTCGGCGTTAGCAGAGTACCTCATATATGTTGATACTAGGCCAGCACAAATGATCCCGATGCTGATGGAAAAGTCAAAGTGGGCGGTTGTTTCGATTCTGGCTATTCTCAAGGCTGGTGGCATCTACGTGCCTTTGGACCCAAATTATCCACAGGCACGATTGAGAGCCGTTACAGCTCAAATAGATGCACAAACATGTCTCACATCTTTGAAACAAAAGGCGATAAGCTCCAAGCTTTTCTCAGCCTCAATAGTTGTCGAAGAATTCTTCCATTCAGCCGTGTTAAACAATATGAGTAGCTCCTGGAAGAAATTGACCATGACTCCCTCAAGCGGAGCTTATACAATCTTCACATCTGGAAGCACCGGCGAGCCTAAAGGAGTTATAGTCGAGCATAAGGCGTTGATGCATAGTGCCAGAGAACATGGCAAAGCCTTTAGAATGTCTTGCACATCTCGAACGCTTCAGTTCTGTTCCTTCACATTCGATGTTTCGCTGGCTGAAATCTTAACAACACTACTTTATGGCGGTTGCGTGTGTATTCCATCCGACTCAGAGCGATTGGATAATTTATCCCGAGTTATTGCGCGTTTCGGTGTCAACTGTGCCCTCCTAACTCCATCTGTAGCGAGCACCATGACTCCCAAAGCTGTTCCAACTCTCAAATCGTTGATCCTGTGCGGAGAGCCAATGAACGACAGCCACGTTAGCATGTGGTCCAAAGCGTTGCATTTAATAAATGGCTATGGGCCGACTGAATGCGCCATCTTCAGTGTTATTAACACATCGGGGATGATAGAATCAGATCCTACTATTATTGGTTACGCAACCGGTTGTAATGCATGGGTCGTCGATTCTACGGATCACAATATTCTCTTACCAATTGGCGCAATTGGTGAGCTTCTTCTAGAAGGGCCATTGCTTGCCCGCGGTTACCTCAATGATTTGGGGAAAACAGAGGCGTCCTTTGTCGAGGTTTCAAGCTGGACTTCCATGGCCGGGCTCAGCCATGGGACAAGGTTTTATAAAACTGGTGATCTCGTTCGGTTGAACAATGACGGCACTCTTACATACATCGGGCGAAAAGACCTTCAAATAAAACTTCACGGGCAACGGATGGAGATTGCAGATGTTGAATCTCATCTACGCCAGGTTTTTGGCTACCGCCAAGATGTCATCGAGGTCTATGCCGATATCGTGAAGCCATATGGAAGTGTTGATCCTCATCTTGCCGCATTTTTCCGTCTGAAACAAGGCGTAGATATACATGATCAATGCTTCCCTGGTAGCGAAAAAGACGCTATCGCGACCTTATTCAATGATGCCAAACGGCAGTTGCTTGCACGTATACCAAGACACATGGTACCTACGTTGTTTGTGCCTGTCAAATCACTGCCAGTTACGTCTGCAGGCAAGCTGGATAGAAAGACTTTGAGAGACATGGCTTCTAGATTAACGACACAAGAGCTCACGCGGTTCACCACAACGGAAAAGACACACACAAACCCTGAGAACGAACTGGAACGCAAGATGCAGGACATTTGGTCTATTGCGCTTGGGATGGACAAATCGCTCATTGGAAGAGGAGACAACTTCTTCGAACTCGGTGGAGATTCCCTGTCAGCTTTACGTGTAGCCGTAAAAGCGCAGGCTGAGGGCATATCTATCTTGACATCTGATGTATTCAGAAATCCGGTCCTAGCACCCCTTTGCGGTATGGTCAGTTCCAAGAAGGAACATGGTGGAGTTGTACAAAACAACGACAAGAACGCATTGGTAGGACGACTAGCAAGCGAAGAGGATATCAATACTATCAGTCGGCAGCTCGGGATCGAGGCTGATGCTATAGAAGACATATACGAGGCAACAAGCTACCAGAGTTTTGCTACTGTCACAACAATGTTGAAGAGTCGAGGCAATATAAATTATTACTGCTTCATTCTTGACGGACCTGTGGATCAAAGACGCCTTCGCCAGGCATGCCGCAAAATCTTCGAGCACCATAATCTCCTTAGAACAGTCTTTACAGCCTCCCGGAGGCGAGCGCTACAGGTGGTACTGAAATCACCAGAGTTTGTATTTGAGCACTTTGACAATATCAACGATCCGAAAGGCTTTGCAAAGGTGATGATCGACGACGATTCCAAGGTGCCAGTACGGTTGGGTGATCTCATGACTCGGTTTGCTTTATATCAAAATGGCGATGAGCAATCTGTCCTGCTCATGAGGCTATCCCATGCGCAATACGATGGAGTCTCTCTAGGGAGAATGAAGACCAACCTTGAGAACGAGTATAATGGACTGCGCTTACTATCTGGGCCCAAGTTTGTGGATTATTTCCATTACGCAAACACTTCTGCGGCAGAGACGTTCTGGACCGAGTATCTCAAAGGCTCCAAGATGACACAGCTGGTTAATCACCAGGGCCCTGCCTATCGTAATATCTTTGACTACCTGCTCGAGCGGCGAATTCCGGCAAGGTCATTGAGATATAGAGGTATAACTGACGCCAGTCTTGCCAAGGCGGCCTGGGCATACACCCTGGCGCTTTTGACAGGCAGTCTGGATGTTGTTTTCGGGGTCCTTACGTCTGGGCGAAACGCTGCCATACCAGGCATTGAAGCCATCGAGGGTCCCACCGTGAATCAGATGCCGTCCCGCGTCCAACTGCAAAAAGGAGGCACGGTGATGGATCTGCTGCGAAACGTCCAGGAGCAACAAGTCATGACGATGCCCTATGAGTCGACCCCATTCTCCCATATCATAGAGAAATACACAAACTGGCCCAAGTGGAGTCGCTTTTCATCCATCGTCCATCATGCATCTATTCTCGACATCAAGTCGATGAAACTAGGCGATACAGGGTGCAGAATCGAGTGCTTCTCCAACGAGACTGACACAACAGATATCTGGGTTCGGTCGAATTTTATTGATGATCATTTCCATATCATTCTGGCCGCATCTAGCATCACAATCCCGCAGGATCTCTTACAAGTTATAATGGACATTTTCTGTGAGAAGATTGCGGAATTCGCGTCTGATCCTGACGCTGCATTGGAAGACCCATTGGCACAGAGAGTCGCGGACTCTAGGATACCGCAGTTTCCTAAAAACACACTACCATCACGTCCTCAACTGAGCCAAGACGTAGATTTCGTTTACTCTCCATTTAGAGCGCTGGTAGAGAAAGCCTGGGATGAGATATTGTGCATCCACGAGACGGAGTTTACAGAGCAGGATGTCGAGATAACACCAGACACGGCGTTCTTTGACGTCTGGGGGGATATGTTGGCGGCACAACAGTTTGCAGATTTCTATAATACGCACACTACGAAGACTATACTGCTGGAGGATATTGTCGATTACCCGAGTATGAGAGGCCATGTGTTTTTACTCGGTTAAGAGGATAGCCGATGATGTAGTGACATAATGCCAAGTTGAAGCCCAAGTTTTATCTATTTGAACTAAGTTATGGAGGTTATATTTATTATCAGATAGGTCAGTAATGACAGTAATGCTGTAACAGCTAGGTTGGAGCAAGGCTGCGTCCCATCCTTAGAATCCAAGTTATCATAGTAAATATTTGCTATTTAATCACTAGAACTACACACTGATTCTAGTATGCAATGCATCAATCTTTTGATCTTTGCCCAGACTGTGACAAACTGGTTTCCCAATAAGGAGTTACCACTATTCTAGGGTAGGTTCATGTTTGTTGTGCGCGCACCACTAACATGTAATAAGGCAGCAATGCATGCAGCGGCGAGGCTCCCCAGACTTCTTGGCCTTCCCCTCATGGCACGGGAATCATATTCGACCCTCTAGTTCCATCGGCAAGACGACCAAGACTCTCTAGAACTTGGCGTCTTGCTTTTGACTCTGATTGTTTAGCGGGGCATGAGGCCGCGATCTGCGCCAAACAAGCGATCCAGACTGTACTCGTATCGTCCTCCCCGTCCATACGCGTTTCCACCAGACGATGGTACAACGCCCCTCCAGCAGAGATGGCTTCCATTTCGCCATCATCTGTGCGCTGCCTCTTGAATTCGATGCTGTCTGCGACTCGCTTGATGAAGTTTGGGAGGGGCGAAGCGAAGCCCTTGGGAAAGCTGCTGGTGACTTGAATCGTTACACCCTAGGATGCGTAGGGAATGTCCTTGTTGTTGTTGTTCTTCTGCCCGGGAAGGGCAAAGTTGATGCCGCGAGTGCCGCAGCAAGTCTGCGCTCCAGCTATAACAACTTGCGTACCGTTCTTGTTGTTGGGATTTGTGGTGCCTTGCCGAATCTGTTCGATGAAACCGAAACTGAAGTCTTGCTTGGAGATGTCATCATGAGCGAATACGTTGTACGATATGACTTTGGCAGCCAGTGTCCAGACGATTTCAAGCCAAATAGATCGATTGAAGACACGCTCGGCAGGCCTAATAAAGAGACTCGGATACTAAACGCTCATCTCAAGACTCAGCGCTACCGTGATAAGTTGGAAGACAGCGCCTTCAAACTTCTACAACATCTACAGGCGAAGATGGGAGAAACCAAGCACCGGGGTAAATACGACTATCCAGGGCCCGCGCACGACAGGCTTTTCGATTCAAAGTATCGCCATAAACACCAAGATGCCGATGCTTGTAATACGTGTCGTGCTTGTATCTCTAATGCCGACCCAGTGTGTGAAAGTGCGCTTAGGTTGGGATGCGCAGATCTTGGATGCAGCAATGACTATCTGATTCCCCGTGACCGCCTGAAAGAGCGAGAGCGGGCAGAAGAAGCAGGCAGTTTGGGAACTCCGGCACTGGTCATTCACACAGGCGGAGTCGGCTCTGCCGATACTGTGATGAAATCAGGCGAGGCGCGCGACAGGATATCAAGGAGAGACAAAGTCATTGCCTTCGAAAAGGAGGGGGCAGGTGTGTGGGACGAATTACCATCGTGTATCATCATCAAGGGTGTATGTGACTACGCCGACTCCCACAAGCCAAAAGGATGGCAGAAATATGCTGCGGCAACTGCAGCATCTACGGCAAAAGCTCTGCTATTGCACTTTTTCGAAGACGGACAGACCAAGGCGCGGACTCGGCGTGAGTTTACTCTCTATCCACAGCTCTCCCACCTACTAGTTTACCATTGTTCCCTGCTAATTGCTGCTAGACCGGATATTCTCCGTGCCCTTCGCTGAAAACCATGGCTTTGTTGGTCGCAAGACCGTGGTCAAGTCTTTGGTCGACGATTTGTTTGCCAAGAGAAAGGATCGCGTTGCTTTGGTCGGGATCGGCGGTGTAGGCAAGACGCAAGTGGCTCTGAGGATTGCCTACCTGATGGATAATAGAGAAGCGAAGTACAGTATACTCTGGCTACCTGCATTCAGCATGGCTACCTTTCAGCAGGCATGTGCGGATCTTGTGAAGAAGCTAAACCTTCCAAGCACCAAGGGTGACGATGCCAGGGAACTGATTCAGCAACATCTAAGTTCAGAACGTGTTGGCCGATGGCTCCTCATTCTGGATAATGCGGACAGCGAAGACGTCCTGCAGGGATCTGAAGGTGTTCACGGGATATATGCCTACCTGCCACGGAGCCGGAGAGGCCAAATCCTCGTTACAACACGGTGGCGGAAAATAGCCGTCGATTTTGCAAAGCAAAGCGTGATCGAGATTGCGGAGATGGAGCATAACGAGGCGAAGAAACTATTACAGAACTCCCTGTCGTCCGAACATTTTACATGGGAGGACCATACGGTGAACGAGCTGCTGCATTCATTAACTTATTTGCCGCTAGCTATTGCACAAGCAGCAGCCTATATGGACATTTTTAGAGTACCCATCGAAGAATATCTTAGGCTTTGCCGCCACTCTCAGCAAGACATGATGGAACTGATGCATAACCGATACCAAAATGATACACGTTACGACGAGAGCCAGGGAGCGGTAGCTACAACCTGGTTGGTTTCCTTCAACCAGCTCCAAAAGTACAACAAAGCGGCCACAAAGTTACTCCTCTTCATAATATGGATCAAACCTCAAGCTATTCCCTGGTCGATATTGCCTGATGTAGGGTCGGAACAGGAAAAAGTAAAGGCAATAGGGACACTTAGCAGTTTTGGCTTCCTTCGAGCGAGACCGGAACGGGGGATGTTTGACATGCATAGTCTAGTGCATATGGTCATACGGTTTTGGGCCCATGAACAAGGAATCGATACAAGAACAAAGGCAGACGTGCTCCATCACCTTGCTAAAGTATTCATATCAGATACATGGGACGAGCAAGTCGAATGGCGATCCCACTTACCGCACGTACTTCACGTATTCAAAACGTGTCGACAAATAGACCCAATTTCAGCATCGAAAATAGGTTTTTGGGCAGGAGCATGGCTACTCCAAGATGGCCGGGTCAGGAAAGCACTTACAGTGATTGAGCAAGTTGTCAAAATCCGAGAGACAGCGCTGGTTCAAGATGACCCACTTCGATTGGCATCTCAACGTCTCTTGGGAATAGCATATCAAGCCAATGGGCAAGTTAAGGAATCAATGATGCTTATAGAGAACATTCAAAGGGTGACACCAGCTGAAGATCAGCAAGAGCAATTGGAACTGCAACAAGACCTGGCACAAGCATATCTAAAAAATGAACAATTCGAGGCAGCAATCACGCTGCTAGAGGATATCGTCAAGATCGAGGCAACGATACTTCTCCGGGATGATATATCACGACTATTATCGCAACATCTATTGGCAGTAGCTTATAGATCTGATGGACAGATAGAAAAAGCGATTACGATACTGGAAAAGGTTGTTAAGATTAAGAAAACGACGCTACCTCACGATGACCAATCACGACTGGCATCGGAATATCAGTTAGCAATTGCTTATCAAGCCAATGGACAATTTGCGGAAGCAATTGCACTACTAGAATATGTCGAGAAGATCATAACGACGACGCACACCCGGGATCACCCATCACGACCAATATCGCAGCATCGTTCATCAGTAGCTTATGGATTCGATGGACTGAGAAAAACAACGATTACACTGCTAGAAAGGGTTGTCAACATGAAGGTTGCGTTATACACCGATGACGACCAATCACTATTGAAATCGCAACAAAAGTTAGCGGTAGCTTATACAGCCAGTGGACAGATAAAAGAAGCAATTGCATTACTGGAACATGTTGTCAACGTTGAGGCGGCGACGCTTACTCAGAATGACCCATCACGACTATTCACGCAACGTCAGCTAGCAAAAGCTTATAGAGCCAACGGACGGATTAAGGAAGCAATCGCACTACTAGAACACGTTGTCAAAATCCAAGAGACAGTGCTTGCTCAGGGTCATCCAGCGCAACTTTCATCGCAACATGATTTAGCAGAGCTGTATGAAGATAATGGGCAATTGGAGGAGGCGTTCGCACTATACAAAGCATGTTTATAGGGTCAAAAGACGGAGACGACGTAAGATGACTTGGATTGGCTTCCAGGGTAATTGAATTCTCACATACGTACATACTACTGAGGTAGTGTCTGCCCCATTGCCTACATGCAATCTGGACAACAATAAGTGTCCTCTATGATAAGGTACTTATGCATCATAGTCCACATTTGGACTCTGATAAAATCCCAACATTACCTGTGAGGAGCCTATATCGGGTTCAACATGAAATGTGCATTAGTGGAAAGGCGTTCAAACTCGGCTGGCGGAGGTCGGTCTGGAAGCAACGCTTCACTTGGGCTGCTGTGGTATATCGTCTTCACCAGTTGGTAGACTCACTCATGACACGAGTGCCGTTCCAGAAATGCACAAATGGCCAATGGCCCAAGTAAGGGTGAAGAAGCCTCGGCAACCATCTGATGTCGCGCTGTTGGTACGTGATGCGCCAAAAAGGCGAAACGACGAAGCTTCTAGAGAATCGTCGAACCTTCTAGAGAGTCATTAGATCCCGGGATGGACACAAAATTAGTCCACCAAACTGAATTCGACCCAGGCTCCAGGTAACACCTGTTAGCTGTCGTCAAGTTCACCATGTCATTTGGCACCTAGACACGCATTGATGGAAAGTGAAGCAATAGCTGATGGCCGGAGGAGAGGTTGCTTACAGGTGTTCTAGGTGCTGCGATGCATACTGTATGAATGTTACAGTGCCTGGTCGTCGCACATACTGTCTTCTGACCTCGTCATTTTTGCCCCTCCAAGCGGCCCGAGCCCCACGTCTTGAGATTTTGGATTTTGCGACAACCGCAGATTGAAGCCATTCTTTCTTGGATACTGCACTGTTGCGCTACATCACCAAATCCCACACCTCAGACTCAGAACTTAGACTCAGACCCGAAAACGATCGTCACAATGGATCCCTTGGAGAGCATGTCAACTGGAGGGCCGCTGCCCAAGGACTTCAACGCCGACGATGCGAGCAACATGGAGGATGTGCGTTTTCGCCTACTTTTTCTGTTTCCCTGGTTCAGCACGAAGATGGAGCTGACTAGCTGACACGATCTCTTGGTTTCGTTTGGCAGATGGAGAAGCAGTTTGCCGTCAAAGGTACATGGAAACACTTCTCTTCAACATGATTCACTCGCCTAACACGCAGCAGTCGTGCAGCACATGGCAACCTACTGGGCCATTCTCGAAAAGGTCAAGGGCTCCGGCCTGCGACTGACCAAGATCGACGACGAAATCTACGACCACCTCAAGGAGGCCTTCCCCGAGTTCGACCCCGCGGCCACGATCGACGAGGACCAGATGAAGAGCAAGACGGGCAAGGAGAGGTGGCGCGCCTTCATGATGAAGTACGAGAAGAAGGTGGACGACTACAACTTTGGCACCATGGTGCGGAACAACGCCAAGGGCGAGTACGAGCAGGACACGACCATTTTCGGTGAGATTTGTTCAAGTTCAAGGGCATGCTTTTCTCTAGGGTGTTACAGACATCTGACCATTCAACAGTCCCCAGGATGCAGTTTTACGCCATTGAGATTGCCCGGTATGTGCTGCCTTGGACACATGATGGATGTTATATCCGCTAACTCTTAGAGTAGAAACCGAAGCGGCCTCAACGACTGGATATACGAAAAGGCTCAGGAAGAGAAGAATAGCTCCAAATAAATACCCCCAAGACACAAGCCAAGTCGAGAGTCGTTTTTGTTATCACCGCGTGCCTTTGCCAATCAAAATATTGAGGATTCGCTCAACGGGCGTGGATGTGGTTTTGTCATGCAGGCCGGCCTTACGCTGCGCCGCTCTTCTTTTCAATGGGGGCAAAATAAGAAAGAAAAATAGATCTGTTCGGTTTATATGGTCATGGGAACCTACACCAAAGACTAAAATATCACAAAATACTACTACCTGTCATTGACCCGAGGCTGTCACTGTTTCGCCTTCTCTCTATGCCTCTTCTGAGATGCTTCAACTTCCTTGTTGGTATCGAATGATTTTAGCTCAAAATAACCACAAGCCGTCCGTTTGCCATCTGTTAATCGTCGTGTTTTGCCCAAAGACTGTCCGTCACCTGGCCGACAGCCCGCACACCTGACAGCGGCTGTCATCCCAAAAAGCTCAGCATAAAAGTTTTCTTCTGCCGTTTGTTTTCATCAAAACAACACAATCGAATAAACAAACAAAAATCCAGGCACCCTCGGGGAAAATCTCGAGGCTTTTCCCCCCTCGCAAGCATCAGCATGGACCAAACATCGTGGCTGGACCTCTCAGCCGATGGCGATACACCAACCTCGCCATCGCCACCACAGTCTCCCCGTAAGGCACATCTGTGGCTTTCTCTCTGTTTACTCATCTGCCTTGGAATCATTCTGTTTCTTCAATTTCAGCCAAATCTGTCGTTCTCACAGCTCACGTCCTTACTGATCCCGCAAACAGCGAGCAGCCCATCCAAACTCACTCGATCGAAATCCATCATCGAGCGCGTCGCCAGCAGAGCCTCCGAGTATTCCATATCCCCCAACAGTTCGCGTAGTGAAGACCAGCTCGTTGGCCGCTCTGGACTCCCGCCTTGGGATCGAACCGTGGATGTTGTCTTCCACAAGTACAAGCATGGAGACGCCAAACCCGATGAGAGTGTGGCCTTGAAGGCGCTCACGAACAAATTCTTCGCGTTGCACAAGAGGCAAAAGTCGAAAGCAAGCGAAAAGAGTCAGGGACTTACCTAGAAGACATTTCCTGAGCACGTTCGCCGCCTTATCCTCGAGAATCTCGTCGCGTCTTACGAGGTTTTGGGATCCAAGCCCATTAGCCTCAATAGATTCAGCTGGGACCAAGACTGCTGGGAACCTTCCGACTTCGTCCCTCTTGGCGAGATTCTCGCGACTTTCCGCCCTTACTTGAGCGTCTCGTTCGATTTCTATGCCACTATTTTCCTTGCAATCTTGTCGGAGCATACTTTTCACGTTACTTTTTCACCATTCATCGGCCCGAGACTCAATCCCCTGGCCACAACGTGGCTCAACAGGTACGGCATCTTCATCAAGTCTCTCATTATTGAGATCGATCTATCCCGCCTAGGTCTCGGTCCTGCTCCTGAAGCCGTCGATTTATTTCCCGGTACTGGCCGTCTCCAAAGTCTGCTTCTCGATTTCAGCTTGTCCCAGCTCGAAAGAGCCCCAGAAGCTCCCCTTGAGGCTCTCATTCTCACGTGCCGTCGCTTCCACGGCCAAAGAGAAGACATTCCTGATCCGCCCAAAGATCTCTCAGAGGGCAAAATCTCTGTCAGAGCCAGTTCTGCGAGCCCTCAAAACCAGTACTCGTCTGCCGAAAGTTCCGGCAGGCAGTCTTCCTGCGACATTTCTGAGAGATCAGTTCGAGTCGTATCTCCCGCCCCAGAAGACTTCTTTGAACAGAGCGAGCTTGACTTTGAAGATGATGACGAAGAAGAAGAAGAAGATGGTGATGACGAGCACACCAATTTGGACGAAGACGAAGACGAAGGCTATGTTGTCAACATGTCGATCGAAAGCAGCGAAGACTCCTCCGACTCCTTCTCCAGCTCCGATTCATCCTCAAACCCCGACACAAGTCTAGCTCTTCCGCCATCCATCCAAGAGGAAGTCTTTTCATACTGTCCAGAAAAAAACCTCTCCATCTGCAATCACCTCGTCCGCCTCCGCAACAATGTCACTTCCCTCCGCATCGCTGGCTTCAGCGAGGCGTATTCCCACGCCTTCCTCGCCACCCTATTTCCCGAGGTTAAAACCCTTCCTCTAGCACAGCATTCCTACCGTGTTACGCCTTCTACCTTTTGGCCTCGTCTTCGCGGTCAGAAATCTTGGGTTGACGCCGGTCAAGGGACTCTCGTGCTGGACGACCACGAGATCACACCAGAGCCATGTATCTTTCCCGAGGGCCCTTTTCAACTACCACCGCCATTCGTTAATAAATCAAGCATCAAGTCGTTCCCAATGGGCCTTGAGACGACAACTCGCCCGAGGAACAACACCGTCAGCTCGGGCTCGAGCTTGCCATCTCAGAAAAGCTTGGAAAGCAACGAAGAGGCAAACACTTCGAAAAGTTCGCGGTCTAGCTGCGAGAAGTCCAAGGTGCAAAAGCTTTTGGGCAGGCGCAAGGGAAAATCGAGACGCAGACCGAGGCCGATTTCGGCGCCTTGATCGCCAGATGTATTCGTTCATGTTTGATGTTTGAGTAGTGTAGGAATGGAAAGGTATTAAAAAGTAGTATTCATGTGTGTGTTGAGCAGTGGGGATGTCTATATACCATGAGACGCTTTTAAAAACATCGTCGCTTTTTATCATCTAATATGCATTCGCTGTTACCCTCTTATAGTAGGATCCAAGTCGCTATGATGCTTCAACAAAGATTCAACACATTACCGTCCCCTAACTCTATACTCCACCATTACCCTTTTATCAGGGTCTTGCAAGATTATTAGCGACTGTAGACATTAAATTCAGGTTGGAGGAACATGTGAGAGACTTACTTTGGCAAATTTGCTCCTGGCGCGAATCCTCTCTCCATAAATGAGAAGTACCCAAGGAATGGCTGTCAACACTGTAGCAATTCCGCCAAGCATACCGCCAGCGCCTCTCAACCCAAGATTGGTAAACATGACGCTCGTGATTAAAGGAAAGCTGCCACCGAGGACATTTCGGCAGAAACTCTGTGCCGCAAGAGCGGAACTTGCGTAAATATGATACGTATCCGCGAGGTAGTTGAACGTGGCGAGATAAACGGAGTAGATTCCCCATGTTGCCAGTCCCAGGCCAACTGCCTTTAAATAACCCGATTTTCCATGAGATCCTAGGAAAGCAATGAAGAGCCCAGCGGGTAAGAGCATGGCAGTGATGCAAGTGAAATAGAGTCTTGCCTCTGGTGCTTCAGCTGGGAATCTTCTCCGCATAAAGGCCCAGAACTTTGAATTGGAGTATTGAAAGCCTTCTTCTTGCTTCTTCCATTGGGGGTGCTTCAATAGGTGTTCCTGGTAGACGCCAACAATGGTTGCAGCAGCCGATGCAATCATCATTGCCACGTACACTCTGCTCGACATGCTGAAATCTGAGCCATAGAGAAAGGGGACGACTGAAAAAGAGAGATACAAGACACCCCACGAGAAGGCAGCCCAGAGAGAGAAACAAAATACTACTGGTTCCGTAAAGAGAAGATGAAATGGCCTTTTGACAGATGTCAAAACGATCTGTCCCAATGATGCCCGTTGTTCATCTTCTTTGACTATCCATCGGATTCTCCGTAGACGAGGAGTCGTAGAGATATTCCGCCCGTCCAGATTGGCCGTGACAGTTATCTGGCTTGATGCAGCGGAAGCCAATACAGCCAACTCGTCGTTGATCCATACTCCATATACCCCATATGTTTCCATCCCTTCATACCACTCATTAAGCTTCTTCGCTTTCTTGGACAGCAGGACAGAGGCCCGGCTTTCTTTGAAGAAGAGTACGAGGGCAAGCAGGAGAACAAGGTCGAGGATAACCTGAACCCAAAACGACCACTTCCAAGCACGGTTATTGCTTCCCACCGTTTCAATCAACGCAGCAGAAACCAGTGGCCCGGCTCCGGTGCCGGCTAAGACAGCACCGCTGAACAGAGCCATCGGCGTGTTTCTTTCTTCCTTTTCCCACAAATCAGCCAACACGCCTCCGACGACGGCAGAAAAGACGGATCCGCCGACGCCAACGAAAAAACGAGACACCAGCATGCCGGCAACATCCGGCATGACAGAGCAGACAGCCTGAAAGATGACAAAGACGGTGCCGGCGATAATGAAGATGGGGTACCGCCCCCAAATCTCGGACATTGGCGCAAGAGCCATTGGCGCAAACGCAAATCCCATGCAGAACAACGTAATCCCGACGACCACAACCAGCCGAGACGTCCCAAAGTCATTGGCCATGATATTGGCAGGTGGCGCGTAAGCACCCGCGGTGTATGCCGTCAAAAACGTCGCCAAGCATGAGAGTATGAGCAAGATACTCTTCCGAGGAGCACCCCACGACAACGGAGACGTATAAGCCGCCAAGTCTGGGCATGGGGGCGGCTCCCGACCATCGAGACTAGGCTGTTGCGGTATTGGCGGCGATGGCAATGCGGTGTCAAAGGTGAGGTAGAGATACGATATCGGAGTGTTGCTTCCCAGGCTGGTCGTCTCAGACTGTTCCGTTCGCGGCTTTTCGCTCGATGACAAGTCTTGTTCGTGATGCGATGGGCCACCGAGGCGAGCAGCAGTATGATCGCTTCGAACAATCTCAAAATCCTCCATCCCCTGTGAGTCTACACCTCCCTTTTCTTCAATGTCCATCGTAGACGGCTTAGACACGAAGAAAGAGACTCGGCTCGTCAAGTGCGAATCTAAGGCATCGATAACTCGTGGCGCGAGCACCAAAGACGTCGCCGAAACACTCACGACGTATCCAGCGAGAACTTCCAAGGAAGATTTGCTCAGATGTGAGGAGCGGCGATGCCTATTTATCGAAGGCCAGAAGGCGTAAGTGGAGCTAATATTTCGTCGACGGGAATAACCAGGTCTTTCTTTAAGACGCCGGGGCCGGTTGGATCTGCTACCTTCACATGGGACCAGGCCCCCACGCGGCTGACCGGCGAGAATGGCAATGATTATTTATTTCTTTATCAAAGCTCTTTGCCTAGATGCCGGTAACGGACCTATATCTTCTGCACGATATCATGTTCGCTCGTATCGGGGACCATGAGCACAGTTCTCAGGATACGGAGAATAATCTCATGTACATCGCCATCCATTTGTCTTCCCAAGACAGAAGCTTTAGCCGATGAACTCAACCACTTCTGGCCAGCGTTAGTCAATAGATTAACGGGAATAAGCGGTGGAAATCCTAGTGTGCCCTTCTCCACAAGCCAAGCTTTGCATCTAGATTCCTCATCCGTCCCCCGCGATGTTTTGAGCTCTAGGGTCGGAAATTGGTATGGAAGCTGTCCAAACTTACGTCCTAAATCCGTAGTAATGTTTGCTGTTGAAGCTGATTCCGATTCCTAGGTTCCAATCCAGGCGGAACCCTAGGATGAAACTCAACTCAGGCCAATAGCATATCGATTAAAAGAGCTGAGTGGATGCAGAGCGCGCATCCCGGGCTGACGACGGTGAGATTCAGGGCATATTATTCCCGACTAAGGCCGCCGGCTATTGAGACCACGAATGCAATTGGAGGGTTGGGGCGTTTGGCTTTGCATTGCCGTTGAGGTTGGTTTCAATTACACAGCAAAGGCAACTAGTGCATGACACAATGCTCCCCCTATAATGCGCCCCCATAGAAGCTTGCCAATGTGTTGTCCTGCAAAAATGTTCCCGAGACACCTCTTCCTTCTTTCGAACATTCCAATAATAGATAGATAGGAGCATGCGGGTTCCGTTAGGGGTGATGATAAGTTGAGAAATCTAAATCGTCTTGCTATCAAGTGACATCGCGAGTGGTTCGGCTAGGCAAAGAGCATCAGATTCAAGTGCTTCATTAGGGGACTTGGAAGATATACCTTATCAAATCCGGTACAAAGGATATAGTAATACTCGCTGAATAGAGCAACTAATAATGCTGCAGAACTCGAGAGGTCCAAACACAATACAGTTTCATCGTGTGGTGATTTTCGCCGCTATAAATTCATCATTGATCCGAGTCATCCTTCTACTCCGTAATCCAGCGAAGTAGGCTTCCAGTCTCCCCGTTCGATTCGCTCTCTCGTTCATCGAGACGGGTCTGCCGCAACTTCCACGGGAATGGTGTTGACACTAATATGGGACGCTCTCAATGTATGCAGAGGTTGGTCGGTATCGGCGCATGGCTGGGACTGGGGTTTCCCTTCTAGCTCCCTCAATTCCATGGGCTTGTTTTCCAACTCGGCAGGGCATTGGGTGCCCGACAACTCGGTGGGTTCTTTGCCCGCTCCTTGCTGACACCATGTGTCATCTGTGATCCGACTTGGCCCTTGGTGTGTCCTTCGGCGGTGTAAGAAGAGAAACGTAATCGCCGAAGCCGCAACTAGAAGCCCCAGGCAGCTTCCAACTACAATTCCTGCAATGGTCCCGGGGGTCAGGGCCCAATTCGGCTTTGATGGGGTTGAAGACGATGATGGGGTCCAAGATGACACGGTAGATGACGAGAATGGTACAATCGCGGAAGAGATTGGCAAAGTGGGAGTAGGGGCGGCGGTGACCAAGATATTTGAAGAAGTACGAGTAGTTGTCAGTTTATATGTCGATGAATCACTTGTTGACGTCGGAAATGGGGTCGGAATCCCAGGCGGAAACATCTCGGTAGTTCTGATTGCATGTGCTAAATCCGCACTCCTCCAGCGGATCTCAAAGGCCGGTGCGGACAGGGTAGTGCCATCGTAATTGGTCACGGCATATTTTTGATCTTTGGTTGAGTCGTTACATTTGTAGCCGCTTTCGCATGAGATATTAGACCCTCTTCCTCTGAAGCTATGTGCAGTGCGCACTTACTCTGGAACACATCTCACCACCGTTTCCTCACTTCGAATCGGCCAGCCGTTGCTCACTGGCGATGTCAGGGTGCACTCGGCACGATATCCCTCGAAACACTCTCCCGGCGAATAAAATCCCCCGTTGGACCAGAGCTCGAGGCCGCCCGGAATCCGGCAGCCATCAAAGTCGGACTGGAGGATAGGGGGAGGACACGGAATCGCCTGGATAGTCATTGGCATATACAGCACCCGCCTGGTGCCGCTCGACAATGTGCTCGTACGGGCCGCCATTCTTCCCAGAGTGGTGTCTATGCAATTAAATCCGAATCCGAAGTCCAGGAGCCGCCGTGCCGAAACTGCTCCCGCATCTGCTTACCAACTGACAGGAAGCCGAGGATGAATGGAAAGAGATTGAGTCGATAATTCTGCACGGTGGACGAGATTTTTATTTGCACTTCGCATTCGCATTTGCAAAGGGGGCAGTTGCTCAGTGTTTGTGCTCGCTCTTTCCGTTGTTTGGCAATTGGGTACTCAAGCACATGTACCACCTCGGCTAATGAAGCCGTGAATTGCTTCGAGATTTGCACTGAGTCTCTCTGTTCTGACTATCAGCAATCAAGCGGTGAGGCACTTGAAATCATTGCATGTATGCGAAAGATTGATGCGCACGACCAGTGGGTATTCATCAAACTATCAGGACTCTCTACCAACATGTATTGAGTTGCTACCAAGCTTTCATCCTCATGATTCGTGGCATCCACACTCGAAAGAATTAACTCAGTCACTACAGGGCAAACATTCGCATTACAGAGTTGCTTCAGGTGGGAAATCAATCGCTATTGGCTCTATCTTACAAATACAGTAGTCATATCTAAACGCTGGGGGAAAAGGGAAGAATGCTTTTCCACCTCTCTCTAATCTACGTCTTCGTCGTGTGTCTCAACTCCATTCGCAATGTCATTGCTCACATCGTTGTCATCTGCGTTTCCATTCAGATAACCGTTGGCTTGTCCATTGGTATCTCCATCGGTGTTACCGTTCGTATGACCGTTGGTGATACCATTTACTCCGTTTGCAGTCTTCACGGTCCCGTCTTCATTGATGGACTCTTCGAGATATAAAGCAAAGGTGACAACGAGATAAACGTCTCCAGTCGCCTTATTCCGAAGGACATATCTCAGTTGATGTGAGAGCCTTCCGTCATTCCTACACCGCACTCGTAAGTAATCGCTCCTCAAATCTCGTCAAGCCAAACTTACCTCAAAGAATCCGCCCCCAAATACCTCGCAACGGAAAGCTGGAATCCCGGCAGCCGCAACGCCAGGTTTGCAAAGTCGAGGTAAGGGTTGAAAAAGTCAATGCCATACGTCTTTCCATACTCCCAAATCCATTTCTCCTTATTCGAATCCGACAATGCCCACTTCATTCTCGGCTTGCTCTCCTTGGGCACGCCATTCACCTCACGTATTTTCTGGCCCCTCTCGTCGCCTCCCTCCTCGAACCACAAACCGCCTCTCGACTCGTCAAAGATTCCCGCACCGACGGACACGACATTGAACGAACTCAGCGCGGGGCCGTACAGATAGGGTTTGTCCGCGTATGCGTCGCCATCAAGCCCAGGGTCGATCCACCACTTGACAATGTTCATGGCGGTGTTGAAGCCCGGCGGCAGCTTGTCCCTGATGGGGCGGTCAAAGTCGTTGCCAAACTGCAGATCCGCGGCTCTGATCCCCAAAGCAAGGTCATCGGTGGAATCTCCAGCCTCAGCCTGTGATGGGCTGAGTGGCGTGAAGCGGAACGAGATGCTGTACTGGTCTTGGTTGGTTGCATGCGGCTCTGTGGAAAAGTACGGTGAGGTTGATGGCGAACCACGCGGCAGTCCCTTGTAATCCTGTATCCGGACATTGAGCTCGACATCGGCAACATCGCTCTTGAGGCGGACGGGCGTCGACTCGTTCACCGGGACCTCAACGTGAGTGCTCTCATCGTAGCTCGATCCCGCCGTAACACGAAGAATGTATTTCTCAGTCATTGTGCTGCTGTGTGTGTGTTGCGTGACGATTGATGGCGGTCATCGGTCTCAATCAAGCTCTTGGGATATATAACTTCGGAAGTGGTTAAACTGATGGCCCGATTCGGAGCATATAGTTATTCCTGTGATTGTGGCTTTACACTCATGGCGCTCATTCATCAGATTCTTAAAGTTCTATTAATAACAGAACGGGTTTTCTTAGTGCGATTTGTTTTGTGTGAGGTGGCAAATCAAGCGCGTCAACGGCTCGTTACCCTGGAGTCACCGTCGCCTCAACGTGGCCATGCGTCTTTTCCCTTTTCCTGTTTATCGGTACATCTGCCATCATTGTCTTCTTCTGCGTGCCGAAGTGCATATGGATGTATTTCTCCTAGATATACCAAACAGGAAATGATTCCAACGTGGAATATGACGCCGTCGCGCAAAGTTTCATCCGTGCAATGCCCTATTAGCATGAAACGCTGGAGTTTGGATTTGTGCCTTGTCAGCACCACCATCTCTTTCATATCTAACATGCTCAATAAACTTCATATACATGTGCACTTTGCTTAATGTAAACACAAACCAAGGCCAGATGTAAAGAAGCATCAATATTGCATCATGTGCATATTATCGGAAGAATTCATATCCCATCTCGGGCAGAGAGATGGCTTTGCTGATCCGGCTGACTCGGCACACGATTGCTCATCACGTTGCCTAAATAGTCTCAGCAGGTGAGACAGACACAGAGTGAGCGCCTCGAGCGATCAAACAAAGGACATGGGATACTAGACAGGCGTATTATGCGCCGTTTGTTGCTGCGATTAACTCGGGATGCGGAAGTGGACCGGCCGGGTTTCATGCTGTTTCATTCTTGCTTCTGGTTCTCCATTGTAAGTAACTGACTCAAGCAACGTCTAGTTCAAGTATGTGCATGTGAAAGCCAAGGTAAGCTTGAATATCGATGGAGCTTCGGACAGTCGGACGTATTCAGTGTTGACCAAGCGAGGTGAATATGACGAGCATGTGTTGACGGTCGGCAGATCCCCAGGCAGAAACCAGCCCGGTACAATGCCAACCCCAGTTGCATGATGCAAATATCGGCCTCCAAGTGTAGATCAAGAAATCACATACTGATTAGTGAATACCAAGTTTTGAAGTACATTTTGTCCCAACAATCCAGCGCAATCTCATTGTATTATTGGCCTGCGCCTCTCGAGCCGATGCTAGGTCGCACTAACAAGCCGTCAGCCCAGGGTCCTTGTATTTCTGCACCAAATTTTGCGACTGGGGTGACATTGACGTCACGCCCAATCGGAAGCTCATGGGCCCCGTTTGCCAAAGTTCTCGGGCACACAAAGGTTGGAATTCAGGCCTCGTCCACTCTTTTCTAACTGTATCAGCATGGACAAACAAAGTTTGTGAGAAAAATCGGAGGATATTCCCGCCTTTGTCACCCACGTCACATCGATATACTTTCTTCCAAGTTGGTAGCTGGTGGCGTTCCAAGCTGGGAGCTCTCTCTCCCCCCCCCGCGAAACATGATAAGCAACAGTGTGAGAGGCCGGTTTCTCATCCGCCTCTTCATCGTCGTCTTCCGATATACGCCGTTCATTTACACCACCGCCTTAGCGGCCGTATACTACTGGTACGGCTGGGAAGCAGCGCGTCAGACAAGCCCAGCTCGCGTCCTATGGGGTCTGATACTGGCCGAGATCTTGTTCTTCTGCTTCATCTACCTTCCGTATATGCACCAGCTGAACCGCAAAGCCGTGCACCCTACCCCCCTGACGTCGGAAGAAAGATGGGCGCTCTTCAACCAATGCCTGGCAAACGTCCAGTCCATGGAGGTGTACCTGCGATGGTGGTTCCTCGGAGCTGAAATAAAGGACATCCGCCGAGACAACCTGCGCGATTTCCTCCTCTGGGGGTTCTTCGACCAGGCGGGGGAAGACGTCGAAAGCAACGGCGGCCACTCCGAGGCTGATGCGCGGGATTTGGACAGCTTCATCGCAAAGGTTGAAGAGAGATTGGGACACCCTCTCCACGACGGCCGAGGTACGGCCAAATGCATACGACTGACTCTGGATGACGTCGAGGTAACCTACAGATCACTCACATGGTACTTGGTCATATACCTTGTGGATCAGGCCGCACACTTGGCCCTTTCATGGAATGGCTTCAAGTTTTATGGCAGAGGGCCTGTCGCAGCTCTTGCAACGTTCCCACCGCGCCCGCAGGAGATATTCACGAGCCGGCGGTCGCGTGCTCCGCAGCTGAGCTACTGGTACCGGCCTCATGCATCCAAGGACTGCAACCCCGTCGTATTCTTCCACGGCATCGGAGTTGGGCTTTGGACATATGTCGACTTCCTAGCAAACATACATGCAGCTAAAGGTGTTGGTGGTGGGCAGGGTATCGGGGTCATTGCTGTGGAGATTCTTCCCGTATCCTTTCGACTGACTTCCCCGCCTCTGGGTAAGGCCGAGTTTCTGCGTCAAATGGCCAAGATATTGGAACATCACCAGTGGGACAAGTTCACGGTCACGGCACACTCATACGGATCGGTGCAAACCACCCACATGCTCCACTCGCAGAGCCTCGGGCATATGATCACGTCCGTCGTGCTAATCGACCCGGTAACGGTGATGCTCCATCTCCCCGATGTCGCCTACAACTTCACTCGCAGAAAGCCCCGGGAAGCCAACGAGTGGCTGCTATGGTACTTTGCCAGCACGGATCCAGGCGTGGCACGCTGTCTAGGCCGTCACTTCTTCTGGCGGGAGAACATTATATGGAAAGAAGACTTTAGAAATGCCGACCCGAGGGATCGTCGCAAGGTGGCCGTGTGTTTGGCTGGCAGGGACATACTCGTCAACACCTCTAGTGTTGCGCAATACTTGACTGATCTTGGAGTGGCGGGAATAAGCCAAGCTCGAGGTGCTAATCAGGTAGCCGAGGTGGAGGTGCTCATGTTCCCCAATTTAGATCATGCGCAGATATTCGACACCCCAGCAGACTGTCAAAAGGTAATCCGGATTATCAGATCATATTGCAGTGCAGGATTAGCGGAATATACCAGTATATAGAGGTCGCAAGAGCTGAAACGCGGTTGCAGCAGTCTTGGCGGAGGCGGGAGCCAATCTCGATAACGAATCACTCAATAGTCTTGATCTCCTGACCCCCCCAATCAGTCAAGATGGCTCCAACCGGACGGGGGCCGCTTTGAGTGATGACCCAAACAAGATCCTGGTCTGAATCATTCCGGGCCTGGTGCTCCGTCCAAGCCGGGACGAATGCAAAGTCTCCCGGCTGAAGCTCGTGATGTCGCAATTCGCCCCCAAAGCCCTCCTTCACGACAAGTGTCCCGGTACCGGACACCACGTTGATGATGGCGTCTTGACGGCGTTATCAGAAACAGAAACCAACCAACCAAGGAAACGCATTTGAGGTGAGGGGGAGGGGGAGGGGGATGGGGGATGGGGGATGGGGGATGAGAGGGCCCTAGAGAGAGAGAGGGAGAAAGGGAGAAAGGGAGGGAGAGAGAGCGGGATGTGGCACCTACCTTGCTCGCTGTTGTGGTGAATTGGGGACCAAGAGTTGGGGGGTATGCGAAGGACTGTCCGAGAAAAAAAAAGAGAGAGTTACAACGCAGTTTTGGGCACGCTTCTTTCCAAGGGCCAAGGAGAAGACTCACCCGAAGCACACATCTTGTCACACTTACCGACAATGGCGGAGTCTCGGATGGAACGCCCTTCATTATCCAGCATGGGCTTGAGCTGGTCTGCACGGGTCACCTCAGTTGTCGAAGGCAGTATCATGGGCAGGATCTCTGTGATGATGGGGAGTAGCGACGACATGGCCCAAGACATTCAACGACGGATGTGGGATTACTGTCACTCTTGGCGGCATGGACCAGGCCGCAGTATCAGTATCAATGCGTGCCAGTTCAGTTTCCTAGCGCAGCAGACGTCCGAGTTGCCCTCTTTTTTGTGCGTGTGTGCCCGCAAGTGCGTGTTCGTTTAGGCTGGGGGTGCCGCGAACGAATGCAACGAGGATACACAAGGGGGGAAGACGAGGCCCAACTAGGAAGGCGAGCCAGTGATGTGGTGCGAGGATGCGGAACATATAGAGGCGGTTCAATAATGTCAAGTGGTATGAGGAGAGGATGAGATCTGTGGCCAAGCGCTGGATTTGGAGATTGATGGAGTGGTTGAGATGCGACTTGAGCGGGCTTTTCTCGACACGGCGGCTGGGGGTATCGCTATCGCCCAGGCCAGGCAGCTGCACAAAGGCCGAGGTAAGGGATATGACGTGTCGAGGCCGCGATGATGGCAAATGCAAAGCCGCAGTGATGGAGCGAGATGTTCAGGAGAGCCGAAGTCTACATAAGGTGGTAATAGATTAGGACGCATGGCAGCCCAGCAAATCGCGATCGTCGGCGGATTTGTTTTTCCGCTTACTTAGGCTCCTACCTACTAAGGCAGTCCCTTGCCAAAATGCCCATCTACATGTACCTACAAACTTGTACAGATTTGAGCCCAATGCAGATGGGCTTTCACAAGTACCTAGCGGGTGGTAGAAGGTAGTCCCAATAATGAAATATCTCATATTTGAGAATGGATTGATAGACGATGAATAAGTAAAGGCACAAGGCAAGAAAGAAGCAAAGAAGAGAAGAGAAAAGAAGAAGCGAAAAGAGGGGCAGCCATGGGTGTATAAATCGTGCTCGTTTAATCTACAGCAGATTTGATACACGAGCTTCTTCCGCTGCTGAAGCTCAACATAACACCGCCTTACCGGGGGTGTCGCCCCATCTTGCCGCGGAAAAGTGCTAAAATCTACGAGGCCTTTTTACAGTATCCGTCCTCCGTTCCTTGCTTTGAATTGCGCAGCTACCCCGAAGAAAAACAAATGCCAAGGTGTGCAAGATGCTAGACGTCGTCTGTCCAGGATCATGGCCACCCCCCGCAACGCGCCAACACAAAGAGGCGCCAGCGGGTATCCGCCCTACAGTAATAGCCATTTGACAAATTCCAATTCCCAATGGTACCTGTAAAAGGGCACGGCACGGCACGGAATGACTTCCACGTTCCCTGTATCTACTCGTACCTAATACGAAGCTGCTGGCGGAAGGGCCCTTTGGACAATCCCGTCCAACTTGCTCGAGAATACAAGTCAGACACAAAGAACCCGGCCAGCAGCATGAAATCTCCTTGCTTGCCAGGGCCCCACCCCGTCAAACCGGGCCCCTGGACAACAAAAGAGCCAAGACACAGCGAGCCTTGACCAGTCGACAATGCTACGGTAAATCTCGAACGGCGAACCGCTGTGCTTTCTACAAGGGGAAGACAGAGGAACTTTCGCTGCTGATGCTCGACAAAGATACCCTCTCGCCCGGTGCGATAGAGGGATGGAATCTCGCCGGGCGGTTACACGTACTGTGCCTGTACCGTTTCACTTGCTGTCCAATAACATTGGATCTGACTCCGATGACGGATTGGTGTGATGCGATGCGGCGACCAATTGCCGCAATGATGATTCTCGACGTATGTAGGTACAAGTACGTACGGAGCCACGGCACATGCACATAAGGGACATGTAGGTCATGTATTTGCCTCTCTTGCATTTCGTGCTTGTACTCGTAGGGCGGGTTTTTGGTGGATGGGGTGCAGTCGGAATTGTCAGCCGAAAAAAACATGACCCTCTGCAAGCTGCTGCTTGTTGGTGCTTGGTGCAGCGACCGCACATCCATACAATCAACGAAACCAGATGCAAGAAGGGGTGTCGAGCTAAGCAGTGGACTGTGCTCGTCGTCGTTGCAAGGCTTGGTCCCCATTCCATCCGCTCTAGTGGTACTTGCAATGTTACCTACTCGTATAGGGAGGTCGATTCGGGGCTTTTGGCTTCCCCCCGGCAAAAGCCAAGTGCACACTCTTGCGTCCGCCCGCCTGGTTGGTCGGCCGGGCTGCCTCCATCCTTGGCTGGCAAACCCCGGCAAGACAATGCCTGTTGGCACATGGAAAGTCTCCCTGCGGCTAGTGCACGATCCCGCTGGAATGGGAAGCTGGGTTAGGCCCGGAAGAGCAGGTGAGCGTCTAGTCGCGGATGTTGCTTTGGTCGACTTACATCGTGGTGTTTCTCAAAGCAGCCCAAGTGCGTCTAGAAGTGGCCGCGTTGGTTCTCTGCACACGCACACGCTAACTTGACGGGCTAGCCTGAGGGCCTAACAATGGCCTCGAGATTCGCCGACGCTGTTTGGCCCACCGACCTTGGGAGGTGAGACTGTGGGTAAGATGCTTAAAGTGTCGATCTAGATCTGTGCATGTCGGTTGCTTGCTGCCTCGTCCTCTTTTTTGCCAAGGCACGCGTCCTCGTAAACATGGACATGGTCGTCGCCACAGCGTCAGACTGGCCAACAACGAGAGTTACAAAAGTACAAGAGTAGATACCAAATGAGGACCGCAGTCCGGCTGATGGATCGCAAACTGTTGCCTACCGCGTTGGATCGTGGCCCCCCGAGAACTTGACCGGTCCGCGCATTAGAGCGTCTTTCTTCCGCGGCCTCTGTTGATTTCTGACCTCGCTTGGAGCATCTTGGCTTAATGCTACTGCTCCTCTAACAAGATAGGCACGGAGTACTGTACGAGCTCATGTATGTAATACGGGGGCAACGCAGGATCAGAGCCGCTCGAATGTTGCGCCAATGATACATGCGGACATTCACAATCTGACATGTACTAGGTCGGCCTTTTATATTCGGCGCTACCTGGGCTGGGTGCGAGCTGGGTTCGGCATCCATTACACAAACAACCACATGAGACGAAGACTGGTAGGCTGGCCCCGAAGCGCTTGGCGCGTTTCGTGATGCAGATCAAGCTCTGTCAGGTCATGGTAGAGACGTCTTGGTAGCATTGGATGCCCGTCGTTGGGTGCCGGAGCTGGATCTGATTGACGGCAAATACGCCCTCGGCTACGCAACCCTGCAAACCGCCTCAGCACACCATCTTCATGTTTCCCCTTGTTGTCGTACGGGCACTCGGCAAGTAAATATCGCACAACCTCACCTCACGCCCCGGAAGAGAACGCCGGAGGGCCTAGCGATGAAGCGGCGGCGCCGGCGGAGAGTGTGGAGAAGCAGCCAGGATTGTGTCACCGTGGGACTTAGGCAGTCCCGGCTCAAGTCGACGGCTATTCTGGAGGGGGGTGCAATAAATGGCTACATGTAGTTGGGCTCTGTATGGACGACTGTCTACAACGAGCGTCCGTCGTATCGTAGCTCCTGCCGTGACCAGGCCAGGTAGGTACAAGTACGGTACGGGACCGACGCACTCGGCATAGCTGCAGAGGGCTCCGGAGTCAGCGAGAGAGCCAGCATCGGGGATGGCCTCCCTTTGGGGAATAGGGATCACGACCATCTCAGACGCCAGGCAGCCACAACCAACGGTCACTGGCACTCGGTGTGCGAGATGCTGGTGCATGTGCGAGTTATACCTCACCGTTATCCAGCGTCATCGGAGACTGAAGCCTGCGTGCTTGGAGGGTTGGGCTCCGTCCCTCGGCCGAGTAGGACGGAGGAAAACAGACGTGGCGGTTGCAGTATAAAAAAAGCGACGGCCCTAGTCGCATCACCAATTCTTTATTCAGACTCGCCCATGCCCGCCCGTGATGACCTGATGATGCCCCGTATCCATCCCCATATCCATCCCCATCCCCATATCCATATCCATACCCATACATACACCTCGCTATAGATGAAAATTTTCTCTCTCCTTATTCCATCCGTCTGCTTGGCCCGTTGCAAAGCGCACTCCCGGTCGCCCAGTTGCAGCTGCTGCGACCCTGATGGACTCGCTGCGCCTGGGTGCTACGCTGCGTCGACAAAGTACCGAGACAGGTCTGTGCTCGATGCACTGAAGGCCTGAACCCTGGACGGACATCGAACTCGACCAAGCCAGGGACGAAACGAGCTGCAGAAGTGCCCTGATTTTCCGCTGCTGGCCCGCTCGGATGGTCAGAATCTCAACCCATTCTGGAAGCCGACGGAGCCTCGATTTGCCAGGGGGGCCGTTCGGTAGCTCCCCGTGCTGTGCTGCTGCTAATCAAGGTACGAGCGAGCGAGCGTATTACTGTACAGTACAGCAGTGGACAGCACAGCATCACCGCGGTCAATCAGCACAGGCGACAGGCACGGAGTTACAACAGGCAGCGCCTCAGCAAACAGAATTTACTGGTCCATACCAGCCAGACCTTGGTAACAGCGGCGGCATTCACTTCGTCCACTATACCGACTTTCCGAGTTACATTCAAGCCTGCACCTTGCAAACCCTTTTGCGAGGTACCAGTACTTGCCCGCCGTATTTATTCGAAAGGCACAGTCCTTGCAATAATATTTTTTTTATTAAATCCATCACTCGATCGGTTCCCCTATTAAACTTCGACTTGCCCAGCTCTTGCGCCATGGACTTGTTGGGGCTGGCTAGCGGCAAGACCATGGGCGAGAGTGCGGCGTCGTCATCGATGAGCTCAACCTCAACTCCAGCAGCTCCCGCAGCTTCAGCTTCAGCCTCAACTTCAGCGTCAACCGGAACGGCAGAAATCGATGCGCCCGTCATCTACGGCAGAGTCGACGCCGAAAACGAAGACAACCTCGAGCTGCTCCGGAGCGTTGCGGAACATGGCGCCTTGGGCCGTGCAAAACTCCTGAGGCCATCTCCGGTGCAGCTTCAGCTTCAGCCCAGCGCCCAACGGCGTGACGACGCTACTATGCAAGGTACTGCAGCCTCTTCCAAGTTCCCACCACACCAATCTGTGCCTCTTGTATTGCATCGTATCTGCACTTGTGCGATCCGGGCCTCCATCTTCTTCTTCTTCTTTTTTTTTCTTTGCTTTTCCCCTTGTTTTCTTTTCTATTCTTCCCTTCACAGCGATCCGTCGCTCTGTTGAATCAAACATTCCAATTAATCTGACATGATTACGCAGGCGCAACCGCTTCAGGCTATTCCCAACACGCTGATGACGACGGCCAGATCCAATCAGGCCACCGCTTATCAAACTCCAACAAACCCCCTCCACTGCTGGCCACACCCCCGGAGATCATTGACACGATCCTCTCCCATCTTTCCGCATACGACCTCGCTTCCGTCTCTGCGACATGCCATGCCCTACGCCAGCATGCCCTCTCTGATCTCCTCTGGCAGCCCCTCGTCCAGCAAAACGTTCCCACGGCCCAAGTCACCAGTGCCGGCGCCTGCAAGAGCTACCGCGAGCTGTATGCGGCCCACGACCGGCTGTGGTTTTTGCCAAAATACAAGATCTGGTTCTGTGATCGAGATCTGGCGGGAAAGCTTATCCTGGTGCGCTATGACCCTAGGCGCAGCTGCATCGAGGGCTACCAGATGGTGGCGGTGAGCAACCAATCGACCTTTGAGAACTGGTCGGCAGATCAAGACGTTATCATTCACGGCTTCGAGCCGGTCGTGAGGCTGCATCTCGACAAGCCCGTCCTGCAGTTCCGCGTCCGAGATAGGCAGGAGGATGGAGGCTTCTCCAAAAGACCCGGCGCTAACCGCTTTGCCGACGAGATGCCCATGGCCTTGGACGAACGGCTAGGTGGCATGTTTAGCAATTTCCTGCTCACAAAGCCCTTGACTGCTGAGGAGGCCGACCAGCGGGTCGAGTTGGGCTACCCCTACGGCAACATGTGGCCGTCGCCAGTCATCCCGGCGAACCACTACGTATCAGGCGCTCCGCCACGCCGGGGCCTCGCTGCCCTGAATCCGCGAGACCGCCCTCGTTCCAGATCGCAGGTTTCGGACCAGACTTTCTGCATTCGGCAGTGGATGGAATTGACGGGCACTCCCAGCCCTCTCCGGTTCATGGGCCAGGGTGGTCTCGCCGGAGCTCTTCAGGCCCTCGTTGAGGAGATTGTGGAGGAGGAAGCGGCTGGCGCCGGTGCTGGAGGCCTCGGTGTGCATATTGGCGAGGAGCTCATCACGTACTCGACTCTCGACCCGGCTCTCTACACTCCGACTCGAGAAAAGCCGTGGAGGGGGATTTGGGTCGGTGACTACAGCGCACACGGCTGCGAATTCTTGTTAATCCACCAGCCTGACGATCCCCCGGCCACAGATGCCGAATTGGGTATTTTCCGCGACGAGAATGATAGCGACGAAGTGTGGGAGCAGAAGAGGCTTGATGCCAGGGTGTACAGAGGTCGTTTGGAAGGCATCAAGTTGACAGGCGACCCAAATATTCCGAGGGGTGAATACACCTTTGTGGCCAACGACTTGGGGCCTGATGGCTACGTCAAAACGGCCACGGACGCCCAGTTCTCCGGGGCCAGGATAGTAAAGAGTGAAGGGCACATTGCGGCCACTGGATTTCTCAGAGGTAAGCACAAGATGACAACTCGTCATTTTGTTGGTTTCGGCACAAGCTAACAGGGTGTTTGTTGACACAGATAAGTTCATTGAGAGCCAGTTGATCCTCATCAGCCCAAACCGACTTGCGCAGCACTGGGTTGGATTCGGGCATATTAGCTTTTTGGAGAGAGTCAACATTGACCAGTTACTTGTACCTTGAGTGGAAGAGCCGAGAGGAAACCGGGAGAGCGGTTAACGAACGAGAGCATTAATGGATGGGGCTATAATCTTTGCGACAGCGCATCAACCGGTTTTACACAACGATACCCGCTATGATGGAACATGGCCATTTCTAGGAGTTTGTCTATATTGAAAGGAAAGAGGGATATTCTCAGGTTCGGATTGGACGTGGAAGTAGGCTAATGCGAAGGACTCTGGTTTGTCTGGGGTTGTCATGTATATAGGGAATTGCCGAAACACTGAGACAAGTTTTTATGTAAATCGTTATCAGATGAGAAAGACAGAGTGTCAAGATGTGTGAGATTACGCAGTAGTTGATTATTACACTATGCCTAAGTACGTCAAGTGTATACATATTTATATCCAACTCAGGTAGAAGATAAGTAACCGTCATATAACATATGTTCAAACGCTCATGACTCATATGTTCAAGTCAGTATCCAGTGTTGGTAGCGAAGATCCGCGCCAGGGGGCAGTGAGATATTCATCAGCAACAGACTTTGGGAGTCGTCCTCAAGGGCGACGCCTTCACTGGGCGCCGACGGGTGTGTCACAAAGCAAAGCTTGGCCGAGCTTGAAGGTCATTAGTATCGACAAGTGGGAAGCGAAGTGGTCCGTGGAATAGTCACTTACAATGGGGATAGCGCAGCAGCGAGGGCGCTGTCCAACGCTGGCACAGATCTTTTGGAAATCAGCGGCATTTCGGGGAACCGTGGACGCTGTGCCGTTTGTCAGTATTGAAGTTAACCGGGTCGAAGATGAGGGTAGACTTACGAACGGCGCAGTTGAGATCAGCGACGCCGAGGACGTCGGTAGCGCAGCATTGGGGATTGCTAAGAAGGCCTGGAGAGCACAAAGGCGAGGGGCTGCCGTTGCCATTGCCATTGCCATTGCCGTTTCCAGGCAAGGGATAGCTAGGAGGAGGAGGGGAGTAGACGGTTGGGACGGCAAGGACTGTGGTGATGAAGACGGTGGCAACGGTGAGGAACTTCATTTTGAATGGTGTTTTCGGGGTTTGTCTTGAAGACTAGAGGATTAAAGATTAAGGAGTAGAGATTTGGAGATGCTGTTGGATGCTGAGATGTGACTGCGGGTGATGAGGAAAGCAGATGAGCTTGATGAGAGGCAATGGAGGATATTTATATTCGACTGGAGTCAAGACGTTATGTTGACAATCCCCCTGATCGCTCGATCTGCTTGCTTCTATGCAGTCATACAGCTCGATCAAGTTACGGCTGTGTCGGCGATGGAAGTGAGTTGTCGCTCATTTCGTGACCCCATGTACGAGTAGTATTGCGTCTCCCTTACATGAGTGTCTTTGGCCTATCCATAAGCCCGGATATGCTTTTCACATGGTTTACAGCTGAAAACAGGGGTATTGTCCTACCATCAGATATGATCCCGCGTCAAGCTGGCAGATGTCTCAGTTCAAAGAGACATGGATCCTTCTGAGTAAGGCGCAAAAAGGGGGAGTAAGGCTTGCTTGGCTACATGAAGATGATTTGTGACTGGCTCCATATACCTTGTGTCCTTGTGTATAATCTCGGAGACAATTACAGCAAATGAGTTGTGTTACGAATAACTTCTGGCTTATGAGATGAATTACGGAAAACACATGTTATTCCTCTTCTCTTATGCATATCCATCCATCGACGGTGACTCTAGAGCAGTACTAGACTATGCTGTTGACTTTTTAAGTGGCGTCTTTATTTCTCGAACTATACTGTATTTCTAACGAGGAGACAACCTAAACAGAGACAAGAAACCCCCTGCAGAAGGAGGAGACATGAAGGGAGAACGCAAGCCCCTGCTGGCTTCCTCACATCAGATCTACCCATGTCCTTGTCTTCATCCCATCCCTGCTTCAATCTTGGGCAGAGAATTCGATTCATCACTTGTTTTGTGTATTCACGTGGGTGTCCATCTTAGCTAGACTGAGACATTGTCTTGAGACTTGGTCCTTCGATCTCAAGTCTACTAACGTAATAAACGCACATTAAATCTAAGTTTCTAAAAAAAAGAACGACACCACTTCGGCAGTCGTTGACGTTTACTCGACGACACCTTTCATTTCACTTGCATAAATACGATGTAGCACTACAGCCATATGCATATACGGCCGTCCGGAAGCACTGCCGTGTGGAGATGAGATGATGATTTCATAGGCTCTCAGTTCAGCGATTGGCATATACGGATATAGACGTGCAGAAAGCAGTTGGCATGATACTCGAGGTTGTACGTAAGAGTTTATTCATTGGGACCGGAACAACTCCCGCGATCCGCAGGGTTCCGTGACGGTTATTACTCGCCGTCATCAATACTGCAGTCATGAATACTACCTACACCTTGCGTCGAAAGATAGTCCAGACCAGCGACGGGGTCCGGCGGAGAAGGGAACAACCTTGTGGTGATGAGTTGGCAGATCAGCACGGTTCACTCAAGTTCAGGTACGAGTACAAAAGATGGCGGCGATCGTTCGAGCATTGCATATCGTATGAGCTGAGTAGCATGATAGCGGGGCGATTTTGCAGTCTTCGGGACGCCTGACAGCCACCCACTCATAAGAACATCCCTTGACATCCCGAGGGTAAGCAGCGCTCTCTGTTCGCTGCCTTGGAATACGGAACGTCGACGGCTAAAAGCCGAGAGCCCGAATAGACAAGGTAGATTGATAACCATGTTGCGGCTGAGCAGCCCAATGGCCTTGGCCTTTATGTTTCATGCAGGGGGGAGACAAATGTTGAATTACGCTCATGGCCCTTCGCTTACAGCCTTGGAAGTGGCAAATCAAAGAAGGAGACAAAACGAAAAAATTCGACTCTAGACCAACTCAACATCTCCAGCACCGCCCAAGCACGGAACCCAAAACAAGTTTACATAAAATATTGAGTAGCACGAGAATATGTAAGCTAACATTGACCCTTGTAAGTGAGGCGGCTAGAAATCAACCCCAGTACTTCTTGATTGTCAGCTCAGCTCTTCCCAGCCACGCCAAAATATTAGCACTCAGATTGCCTAGATATCGCTGCCAGGACATGCGCACTGACGCAGCTGAAGTCGAGTTCGACCTCATTGGACGAATAGCAACCAATGCATGTTTGAGACCGCAGGAAAAAGAAGAGTGCTCAGACATGGCTCTCGGGCGTTGTCGGAGCATCAAGTATTAAGCCAGAAACTTGAAAAGCAAGACAAATAAAAATCACTACTCGATAATCCCCTCAGATACCTAAGAAAGGAAGGACAGCAAAATAGCGGCGAGATTGAGCGTTCCGATCGCCCCGAACACAATAACAAGGAGCAAAATCGCCGGTCCGATCGTCCTCACAGCTGTCAAATCCCCCCCCGTCCCACATCCCACACCCTCGGATGAGCTGCATTAGTCTGGCAGGCTTAGATTGTCTTTTAGATTAACCTGTGCCGCCCTTGCTTTTGACACACCCAGCCAGTCCCCCCCCCCCCCCCCTCCGATGCCGCCGGCCGATTCAGCTTCTCTTCTCAAGCTAGCTTCATCGGCCGGCTGCTGTCAAGGGCAGGCAGCAACTTGAGACGCATTGAATGCTTTCCTTTCAGAGTAACGTCGGAGCAAAGTTTGACCCCGAAGCCAGGCCAGCATTAAGTTCGGCTCGAGAATTGAAATTGGAGATATTGCGGAGGGGACCTCGATACTACGGCTGCGCTTTGACATGTAAATGTGGGCTTTGTGCTCTGTATCACTCAGTCATATGGAGTGTGTGTATCGCAATGTCAAAAGAGAGGTCCACACACACCTAATCTCACAAAGGACTTGTACTACAATGCCGTATTATAGGTGTTATGCAAGGGGGGGTAGTCGCACAACGCACTCAGATAATATGAGGGATCAATACGTTCTAACCGGGTCCAAGCTACCTACACTCTCCCTGCATAGGACTTGCTTGGTCGGCGGAGCATAAACACACGAACAAAATACTGGAACAAGAACAAGTCACTACGAGTAGGCTCCAGCAGAATGTTCCTCCGATGTGTTGACTTGTCCGTAATTGGGCAATTGGACTTTGGGTTTTCTCTTGTTGGATCAGTAGCCCAAGATGATTCTCATATACGTTCGCCATCATATAGAAAACAGCTCACAGTCTTCAATACTGCAGTATATGTGGCCTACACTCACCGCTTGGGGACCAACTACCAGGTCATCGGTCACCACGTGCTTGAAGATGTAGGCAGGTCTCAGTTGTCAATTGACATATGACGTTTGTTGTCAATGACCACTGTCTCGCGTGCATGACCAAAAACAGGTGTTCGGGTCTTAGATGCTAGATGGATGCAAAGGAGGTTGCTGTCTCCCTTGATGACGTTGAGACGGAAACTGCAGCTAATTGGCATACGACGGCGCATATACTCCGACGTCCTGATTCATCACAAACTCCAAGTGAAAATCCTCCAAGGCTAGCTCAGGTATAATACTGGGCAGGATTCTCTCACTCCGCTTAGAGCACATGGCTTAACCCCATTTTTCCGTTGCTATCATACGGGTTATTTAGCTAAAAGACGGTGAGTATGATATGGGACAATCGCTAACGCATTTTCATCTTTCCTACCGAGTACTCAGCAAACTTTCGACAACTTGCATTGTAGTAGCTTCATTTGATACCAATTGAATCACCAAAATGCAGACGTTTTCGTGCTACCCTCTTGCCTGTTTACGTAACTTGACGCAAGCTTCCGAGGCATCTAAATCTGAAAGATGATGGTTTACCCAGGTGTCAGAATAGCATCAATCGCATCTATATCATGCGGGTGGAATTGCTAGTTGGAGAACCAGGTAAGGCAGACATCTAGCTAGGAAAATGTCGCCATGGATCGGCCCCCGAGATTTATCGAGGCTGGGGGTTCACGACCTCGACTGTCTCGGATTTGACCGCATCTGATGAGCAAACCCAAGCCGAGTGAAACAGCAGTATAATATAATATAGGAGATCACAGGATTATAGTTGAATATGCCTCTGTGGAGAGGATTGGCTTTTAATAAATACTGGGAAACAGTTATGGTCACATCGCCTGTCTACTGCGTACCCGTCACAGTAAATGGGTCGTTGTAAATAAGTAGTAGCCATAAATCATCCCAATGTTCAGTACGAGATATACTCGTCATTACCAATTTGCTAATCTCTAGAGAGTAAGAATTTAGTCGCGCGACAAAGCCATGCTCCAGTTAAATCTCGAAAGGCCATCTATGAAGCATAAAACAATGCAAGCAGCCACTGGCGCGGTTAGCCAACATTGTTGCTCGAATCTCAGGGTAACAGATGCCGAGCCAAAGCACTGAATCTCACACTGTGACGCAAACAATTGTCTTGGATGACACACGCGGTTCCAAGCCGCAAACAAGTTGGTCATTCACTGCTATTATTTCTTGCATGTAAGACCATCATAACCATTTTTCTACCTATGGATGTAGGCATGATGAAGTCATCGGTTTCATTCGGTTTTCTCCAGGGTAGCATTGAATACAAGTAGCCGGTACGAGAGTTGCTACCCAAGTGACACCTCCTCAGGTCCCGCCGCAGACGGCAGCGGTCACCTCGACGAATCACAGCGCTGCAAAGCCAGGATTCGCCACTCAGCCCCAGCGCTTCAGCCGCCTGCAGCCGCTGAAGTCTCACTGAACAAGGCGGGGGCCTCAGTGTATCGATAGGGTACCGTTGCTGCTGCGGAACAGTAGCGGATACCTGGCGGTACACCGAGCTCCGGTTCTGCTCCTCAATCCGGCGATGCGCGCTGCCGATCCTCCGTAGCTGTTTGACCCAGCTGAAGTCATGCAATTCTCACGATTCCATCTCCTTCACTCTCTCACCATCACCAGAGACTCCCGCTCAATGGGCCGTGCTTTTGTCCACGATCCATTTGGGATGGCTTACGGACTTGCCAGCTAACATTTCATATATCCAATTGCCTTCGCATATCATCTACAGACCCTTGCCAGCGGCGCTGTGCTGTGTTTCCCCAGTGTGGAGCGGTGAAACAACGTCGTCATCGACATCATGTCCGAGCCGGATCTCGTCGGGGCTTCAGTCGACAGCCCGAGCAGTTCTGATGGCGTCCATCGTCAGGCTGCCATTCTCGACCGCCATCTCCCAGAGGGCTACTCTGCCGATCCGGAAGTGAGCCTGGCTACCGAGCCCATCGAGGTCGTCGTAGAGCCCATTGTCGCTCCCTCATCGGCGAGCCAAGATCTGTTTGACTCTCCCGCGGCCTCTGCGACAGAGCTAGCTGCTCCCAACAATGGCAACGGGTTGGATGGAAGCAGCGATGCAACCCCGACGCTGGAGACGCTGGAGTCTTCGCTGAAGCTCCAAGGCGGCGACATCCATCGCGACATGTTCAAGATCAAGGCCCGCGCCAGCTCAATTCGCCGATCCAATACCTTTTCTCACCACCCTTCGCCCCACCTGGGCCCGGCTGGTGAATTGACACATTCTGAGCAGCTTGAGCCGGGTGGCTTCAGGCGGCAGCATCTGCGTCGCCGGGCTCAACAGCGGCAGCAGAGCGGGCTCGTTGTGGCTAGCACCTTTGTCGATTTCCTCGACCTCTACGGCAGCTTTGCCGGTGAGGCCCTCGAGGATACCGACGACGACGAGGACGAATCTGTCGTCACTGAGGAGTCTGAAGAAGTCATTGTTGATGAACAACGTCCACTGCTGGCGCGGCCCAAAGCTGACCGGCGGAAGAGCTCCCGACGCATGAGCCGTGAGGGTGACGCTAGCACTGTCAAGACCTTCTTCACGCTCATCAAGGCTTTTATTGGCACGGGTATCTTGTTCCTTCCCAAGGCATTTCGCAATGGAGGTATCCTCTTCTCGTCGCTTGCGTTGGTTTCCGTATCTTTGGTCAACTGCTTCTGCTTCCGCTTGCTGCTCGACTGTCGTCGCAAATATGGCGGTGGCTATGGAGAGATTGGTGAAGCCATCGTCGGTCCTCGGTTCCGAAGCTTGATCCTTGCGTCAATTGCCATTTCCCAGCTTGGGTTTGTCTGCTCGGGCATCATCTTCACAGCGGAAAATCTCTTCTCCTTCCTCGACGCCGTGACCAAGGGCGTCGGTCATCTTGGAGTGTCAGGGCTAATTGGGCTTCAGTTCCTCCCCCTCATCCCCCTCGCTTTGATCCGCAACATCTCCAAATTAGGCCCTGTTGCTCTGGTGGCAGACGTCTTTATTCTCATTGGGCTTGTGTATATCTGGTACTACGATATTGGAAGTCTAGCTAGGCACGGCATCGAACCGAGCGTTAAGCTGTTCAACCCAAGGGACTTCCCTCTGACTCTTGGCTCAGCCATCTTTACGTTTGAAGGCATTGGCCTGATTCTTCCGATCCAGTCGAGCATGAAGAAGCCCCATCATTTCAAGGGCCTGCTCTACTTCGTCATGTTCCTCATCACGGCCATCTTTACCTCGGTTGGAGCACTATGCTACGCAACTTTTGGCGAGAATACCAAGATCCAGATCATTTCCAACTTCCCTCAGGATTCACCTGTTGTCAACTCAGTTCAATTCCTCTACTCGCTAGCCGTACTAGCAGGCGAGCCTGTGCAGCTGTTTCCTGCTGTGCGTATCCTGGAGACGTCAATCTTTGGAGAACGAGCCACGGGCAAGAGGAGTGCGGCAATCAAGTGGAAGAAGAATGGCCTTCGGACGCTGACCATTGCCGTCTGTATCGGGGTTGCGGTGGTTGGCGCAAGCGATCTGGATAAGTTTGTGGCTCTGACGGGGTCTTTTGCTTGCATTCCCTTGGTCTACATGTATCCAGCATATTTGCATCTCAAGGGTGTCGCCGAGAGTAAGCAGGAGAAGTGCTTGGATATCTTGACGATTGTTGCTGGAGCTGTTGCCATGGTCTATACGACATCCGTGATCGTGGCGCAGTGGGTTCAGGGTTGATGATGTGTCGTGTAGAACAACTTGTAGGTTATAGCTTGAGCAACTTGGCGGAGTACGATCTATTTCATGTCTTGAATGATCTCTACTTGGAATTGATTTGAATGGAGGCATCTGAATGGATTTACCGTTTGTTTCTCGTGAGGACCCCATGCGCTCTCGGCATCTCGTTGCTGAATGAGTCTCATTACGATATTCATAAAATTATGTGCATTTACACTCGTTTCAAAACAATTTACACGGATTTGCTTATCATACACCGAAAGATGACTTGTAAGACCAGTATCATGAGAGCCTAAATAACAAAACTTTTAGATTACACTTGGCACTTCCTGAATCATCACTACCACCCGAATGATTCTTCAAAATACTCAACAGAATTGTTCTGTTGACGAATAGCCCGATACGTCGCCTCTCTAGCTGCGTCTGCCAGTTTACTAGGACCACAAGCAAAGACTGCAAGTCGTGATCCGGACTCAGTAGCAGAGGCCGCTGCCTTCTTAATGATTGCCGGGACATCAGGCCTACACATTGTGATGGTCAAAGAACAAGCCTCGTCAGCACCATCTGTCGATTCAGATATATCTGTATCCTCTTTCCCTTTTGATACACCGCATTCTGCGGTATCTTTGTGGGTATCTCTCATTGGAATCTCATCTGTTGATGGCGAAGGTAACGAGCCAACCTCGACCTTTGCAGAACCTGTGCAATAAAACTCATATCTGACATCGTCCCGTGTAAGTGCCGCGGCGAGTTCCCGCCGTGCGATTCGTCGGATGAAGGCTTCTTTAGGATCAGACCATATCAGGGTCAGTCCACGGATGCGTGTCTGGCTGGATTTATTGGACGTGGCGGCTCTTGCGATGTGGTCAAGTATGTATGGAACCATGGCCGTGATGCCGGATCCGCCTGCAATCAGGAGGACCTCGTCAAAAGCCCACAGGGGCTCTGCGAGGCCGTAAGGACCTTCGAGAAGGATGGTCTCCGAAGTAATTGAAGGCAGCCGAGATAGAGGCTGGGACTTTATACATTGATCGCGGAGATGGCGAGTCCAACCATCATATGGGCGGATCCAGAAAGAGAGAAGACATTCGCCTTCGATGACTGTATGTGGTAGACTGGCCTCGGATGGTGTCAAGATAGAAACATCTGCAGTTTTTGAAGGCGGATCTGTTGTGTTATCTCTTTGCTGACTTTGGGGGGTTTCTACCACAGACTGGCTCCAATGGGCCAAAGTCAAGGGGTGATTCTCCCAGCCAAAAAAACGGAAGGGCTGATAAAGATAATAATGCTTGCCAGGCCCTGGCTTTACATGCGTGTTGATCTCAATCCGGATGAAATTAGCGTCCTGGTCGTAGGAAATAGCGGCAGTGCTACGATGGAGTGTCTTTTTGTGCAGTTGAACATGGAGATTGCAGTGGACTACTCGAACGATTCTTAGGAAACGATCAAAGCTCCAGATAGCAACGAGAGGCCATAAATATGGATTATACTCCCCATCAAAAATGGAAGTATGGCTAGATATTAAGAATGGTTAGTAAACCACAATGGCTCAAGTGACGACATCAAGCCAAGAGGGGAACACGTACTAAAAGAGAGTGACAATTAATACGACGGATAAAAGGATATGAAGCAGAAGAAAGGAGTCGTATATTCTGCGTCGGAACCAACTGAAGGAGGACAAAACAAGAATACTCATTGCAATCGTTGCCTAGAGCGGGCCAACATCAGTATACGAGCATTCAGAGATCTTGGAGAGTTGCTAGTCAGAAATAACGTCTTACCACAGCTCCTAGGTAGAACCAAGCATCATGCCATTGTAGCCGATAACCTTCCGCTAAATTTGATCCTGTTAATGGAATGTCTCCCATAGAGAGATTGTGAAAAGTATGTAGAATAACATACCTCCTTCAACTATGAAATAGAATACTGTGTATCCAATGGAATGAATGATGGCTTGTAACGTTGCGATCCGAGCGATATGCCTGTGAAAGAGATTGAACGTAGAGAACGACCAGCCTGTTAGCCAGATGAAGATATTGTTACGGCCGCTGAACATCCACATCAATGGTAGGTTGGCGTAGGCGATGATGCCCGCTCTGTCGGAAATGTATCGCCATAGTTGAGGTGACACTGCCGACCAGCTTCCATCAACCACGTGTTAGCCGATACATCTCACGAACCTGTCTTGTTGGTGTAAGCACTTACTATAGGTTACCCTCGAATCCACGGTAGTTCACGCAGCAAAGAACGAAATTGAGGATCCAACATGAGACAATGACCAGGGACTCGAGTCGAGTTGGTATGGTGCACCCGAACCAGAGTTGGCTGTGATACGGAGGTAAACCGCTTGGAATAGTAAGCTGCTTGCGGATTCGAGAGTACATATATGTAAGAGACTTGGTTCCTGCTGTTGATTTCTTGCGACTATCCGCTGCTCCGAGGTCTTCAGGATCAGTAGATAATGGAGATAGTCGGCTTTCGATAATGTGGGTTATGAGTCGACGTAGTGTTCCGATGAGGAGAATACCGCCCCAGAATCCGTACATTGCCCACCTACAGTATTGGGAAAGTCAGTCTTTATTTTTGTCAGCAAGATGGCGAGAGCTGAATCTCACCCATAGTCATGGTGTGTCCGTAGCTCAAAGTCCCATGCGTCCTGTATGATTTTATTAATGCTGTTAGAGAGCGGAGCTTTGGATATGGGTAGAATTAGAAAAAAAAAAAAAGAGCACACCTCTGTACGGAAGCCCAAGTCAAACCATTCTCTTGTAATTAAAACTGGCGTCGTGAGATTCTTCGGAACGATTGCATCCTCCTGATTAAGGATAGGAAAGCGGCTTATTGCTTCATCCGTCAAATTGACAGCCACATCTGCCTCTGGTATAAGTCCAGCCTCGGCATATGTTAGGCAGGCCCAATTGAGGTATTCGAAACCGGGACTTAGGTCATTGGGCGAGCAATAGGTTTTAGAGATGGCGTAGATGGAGATGGCTTTTAGCGGGTTCTGACAGATCCCCAAGTAGTAGTTGCCGTAGCCGATGCCTTCGAAGTTGAGACCTCCGACAATACCAAAGACAGCGGAAACACACTCCTGGTCTTTGCTGATGTCTTTGGAGAATCCATGTGACGTGAATAAGCCCACAAGAGTCAGGATGACCCTGAGGGGGTGTTTCGTGGCTATCATAGTACAAAGACTTTCAGGTCCTAGGCTGTTGATATTTGTCCCGCCGCGGATAGGTGACGGCTTCACTAAATTGGATGCCGAGAAATAATCATCGGCTTGGCAATTGCCAAGGTCATGTATTAATATATACTATATAATTCTCTCGCAAGTTGTGAATCACATGACAGTGCCCTCTCTCACGCCGTTGCCGACTGTTGAACTAGTCTTCTACCTGTAACTCGGGAAACTCAATCCCAACCAGGTCGTATTTATCGCAACACAAACGTTAGTAGCCACTAGGCCAGCATGACCTTTAATGATGATTGGCAGATTCGGAATACTGAGCCTGATACATCACAGCATAGAATCTAGTAACCAGTGGGTTGGCACGCCCTTTCGTGATCATCCGTAGCCCGCCGAAAAGACTTCACCCCGGTCATGTAAAAATTCAAGAAGGTGGATATGCGTTGCTTGATATGGAGCCGATCTGCAAGTCTAGAACTCTTATTTCATGCCTAGCGTTGAAATTGACTCAATCTTTTAGCTAACGATGAACTGATCTTTAATCTTATCAGATGGAATTTGAGTCATCAGATTAGATTAGATCTTTTTTCTGTCAATTTAGTGGCTTTTACCAGTGGAAGGCCCACTGGCGCCTTGCCTGTATGGGAAAGTCGGGATCTTTTCCGTCTTGTTTATACGAACTACTCTCTTGGGATAGGCGGTTCTTTCTCTCTCTCTTTATTATCTGATGGCAGACCCATATGGCGGTATATAGTCTTTCTTTCAACTATTTTGGTGCATTGTCTAGACGTAGAGTAGGTTTCCATACGATTTAGGTAATGAAAATTGTGGTCTAGAGAGTTATGGAGATGTATTACTTAGAGTTTAAAACTCAGCTTTTGTACATGAGATTCCACTTCAAAATGCACTGCGGATAGATGAGAGCGAAAAGACTCGTAGCAAGGCTGATACTGTTACTGCCACTGTTAGACGCCTGTGCTCACCTCGTAACGCTGCAATACCACCGACATCGTCCAAGATTTCGAAATTGATTCAGAGGCTGAATGAATCAGGTAATTGTATCCACACAGAGAGGATATAAGTTAGAGAGGTATATACCTCATAGATCACCTAATTGGGATCGAAAGTAGACGAATTTATCTGAAAGCTGAAATCGTCGTCTGAGCGAATTATGCCTAATGCAGATAAGCTTGTATCAATTCTCTGAGACGAACTATACTTTCCTGGCATCCTAGACTGACAGAAATTTCTTTTCACGAGATCCTCGTTATATGAGTTGTGGCAAATGAAGTTCCGGAATCGGACTCCTCTTACGGCACAGACTTGCCGGCCTACTCAACCCGAATGCAACGCCACCATTGGGTACAAGAATTCCGTCAAAGTGACCAGTGGTGGCGAGATGATGCACTTCGGTAATGGTTGACGAGTTAAGTAGCCCTTACCAAAGAGTCGCCTGAATGATAACAAATGTACTCACATTGTTCATCTTCGGTAAGGTCGTCTGTTGTCTTACCCCCACCGCCTTTTCCTATACTCTGGAGTCTGTTTGTAACAAAAGATTATGGCCAATATGGCACACATAGCTCCTGATGTAAATTCCTTATATGTGACTGACTCCATATAATTGCCTAGGTACGCTAAAGCGGAATCTCGGGCCGAGGCATATCCACACGTATGTTCGTTATCTCGTCTTGGTTGATGTCCTCGAAGAAGGGGTTGCATCAAATAACAAGCGGAAATTGCGCTTGCGGTACCTGCAAATGAATGTCTAGTATAGAAATGATCACCGCTTCGCTTGGCTCTACTATAAGCG